GTGGAGTCTTCCTCAGTGGCTATTTTGTTATCATTTGACAAAAAAATCAGAGTACAAAAAATACGCACGACCAAAAGACATACTTCATAGAATACCCAGTTTGAACGGAAACCAACTCTTTAACGCATAATTAATCATATCTCTCCCAATTTGTTGAACAGTGACTCAATACAGCTTCTTTAGCAAAGTATGCACCGACATAGATGGCGTTCAAAGGATATATGATGAAAACGTGGCTCCAAACTTTTTTCCCATTTTGTTGGCACCTGCACTTTTCATTCATGAGTTTCCCAGTGATCAGTTTGGTTAATTGGATCGGTGATATCATCAAACAAATTTTTCTCAGTCTAATGGAGATACCCGTAGCTTTTAAACGAGTTCGAATTTTTAATCAATGTGCGAACGTTCGAATAGATCATTCGGTAAAGAAAGCTCAGAATCAACATAATTTTACAATGATTTAAGGTGGCTGTAGCCTGGCAACACAGATAGCATGCTATCTTAAAAATCTTCACCCCATCCCTCACCCCCCCCCCCCCCCCCGACACTTTAGGGGTGGGGGTGTTCATGCACCTTGCGACCAGCGAGGACAGTTCTATTGATTCTCAGATCAAAAGAAAATCTTAAAAGAAAAACACAAGGAAACTTTATTAAATTTGAGTCGAAAGCGGCAATATTAGGAGGGACAATGGTTTTTTCCATTCTCCCCCAAAAAAATCAGTGATTTGACTGACGTGACTGAACAAGGAAAAGTGTTCATGCACCTTGCGACCAGCAAGGACAGTTCTATTGTTTCTCAGATCAAAAGAAAAACTTAGAAGAAAAACATTATTAAATTAAATTTGAGTCGAAAGCAGCGACGTTAGGAAGGACAACGGGTTCTAGCTTTTCATTCTCCCCCAAAAGATCAGCGATTTGTTCCATTCGCCACAACGAGAAAAGTCTAGAAAGACGTTGATGCCGACAATATATAACAAAACACTCATCGGCTGAATCGAGTGAAATAGGAATTCATTGCTTTTTTCAATCCCCATAGTCAGATTGGTAATCTGCGATGAAAAATCTGCTTTTTAATTCTGTACTTTAATACTATTTGCAAAAAATGACGAGACTTTTAGATCTTCTGGAACTTCAGAAATATAAAGCGCAATTAGCTCCCTAGTTTCTATGCCATTACCGCCAACAAGTAAGCAGTATGTGAAATATTTAGCTCAAGTTCTTAAAATCCGGAAATTACACTTGCTTACAAGCATTTTTAGGGTTTTTAAATTCCTGAATCAATAAAAGAGGCAGTTACGTTCGCATGTTCTTACAAAACTCGGATTGAAATTTCTGCTCGGGGAAAACGATTAATAAAGTCTTAAATCAAATACATAAATTTAGTTTTATGACACTAATGCGTGTACCAAAGAGTTTCTTATCCTTTGTTGTGCTTATGATCGACAATTAGGGTCTTACTTGGGACGAAAAATAAATAATTGTGAAGGACCGCAAAACGGAACGGGGGGGGACGAACTGAGCATTTCTAACCCCACAGGGATTTTGTCAAAAACTCATTAAAGATAACTTGGATCCCTAAACTCAGGTAAAGTTAGATAATTTAATGAAAAGATCACCTAGAGAGAGAGAGAAACAGCTCCCCTAACGAAATTTTCTACCCAGTATTCATCAAAAGCTAACCGGGTTGCAGAACGACGTTTTCCCTCAATTCGTCCTCGAGGGAGCCACATAGCATATCCCGTGTTCACCTCCCCCCCCGGCCTTGACAGGATTGTGCCAAGTTTTAGATGTTACAATTATTTGAAAACAATTATTTTTAGTCTGCAAAGTCGTTAGAACTGCGTCGTCGTTAAATCAAAGTTGGCCGGCTTCGGACACTCAACACGAAGACAGAAACGTACAACATCCTCACGAAAACTCTTAAGACACGTATCCAGCTTTAGCTAAAAATAATAGGGCAAGAATTATAACTGACCTGCTTGCGGTCCACGTCTTTGCTAGGACTTCTCTTGGCCCCTTCTAAAAGATAGAAGATCCTCTTCTTGTCGATTCACAACGATCCAGTTTAAAGGAATATTACAGATTTCTCCTGTTATTTGTGATCCAGACCGTTTTCAATTGATCAAAACATATCATGCGGTGTAATATAATTCTCACAGGATGAAAGGATCTGATTAGAAGACAAGTAATAGATAAAATGTCTGGTTTCATTTGAGGGGGAGGACTCCGGAATTTTATCGTATTTGTTGGTGATTGTGGGGAGATATATTCACTGAATAATTAAGCGACTCTTTCATTCGAGTTTCTGCGGTATTCAAGGCGTTCACTTTAAAACATTCCGTATCTCATATAAAAGAACTCTTTATGAGTTGTGCATTGTTCTCATGGCAATTCCAGTAAGACAGAATTTCCTCCGCAAAGGTCGAGGGAAATGACCCGTGAAAAACATCTTGCAGATTGAGGTGTTTAAAAAGCTTTTACCGACTTTAAGAACAGCATGCGCATTTTATTGACAGTTATCCGTTGTATTTATTTTGAGTTTGTTGAGATAAAAACCATCTTATAGAATTCCAAAACCTCTCTGATAAGCTTAGTTATGTGCCTCACGTGAAATGAAGTCAAGGAGCTATAGATTACCGAAGAATTATCACAATGACACTCGCATCTTTTAAAAAGGAGTGGCGTTTAAAACCTAAATGGAATTTTTCACGGGATCACAGACAATACCTTCCGAGATTCTGCGGGTAACACCGAACACTACAATGACTGCTACAATGAAGTCAATGAAGGCTCGTCCCCTACACACTGTTGAGAATTTGCAGACGGGCAGCTTTCACAATATTTCGTGAAATAATTGATCATTGTACTTATCATCCATTGGACGAGTGCTTTTGGTTTTGCCGACAGCTATGAAGCGTTCGCTATTGTTAAAAGGTAGAGTTAAAGTCTGTTCTCGTGCCTAGTGGCTCGCCCACCCGGTTTCCATATAGTATGAAGCGACTAGGAGTTTTACTACTTCCCCCTGGCTGGGGTGCTAGTCCATCGCAAGGTTAGCCCCCAGCATTTTAACAGGCTTCCCTGACAATTCGCCAATTCTAGTCCTAACCTGGATGGAGAGAGCCACTGTGAGAGTGAAGCCGGTTTTGCCGAAGAACGCAACACAGTAATTCTCCTTACTGTCTGCCAAAATGATTCTCATTAACTAGCTTGGAGAATTTGGTATCGGATCAATTTGTAATCCCGGCCCATAATTGATATTTTTCTTTATTCTCATCATTTGTCTTCATAATATTGTATAAATATATTAAGGAGAAATTCTGTCTTGGTCACTCACAAAAGTTAAAGGGTTAACTACCCTATAATCACTTCAAATTCCACGTATGATGTTCATATGCTACTACAGAAGTTATTTTCAAAGAGTGTCAGATTGAGAATAAAATTTCTTTAAACCAATTGGGTTTTATAGGGTTCGCTTTACTGCACTCCGTGATTGGTTCAGAAAACTCGTGCGACCCTCATAACCACTGCAGCAAGAAACCAATCATGACTATCCGCGTTTTCCCGCGCCCGTGATCGTTTACTTATATGAGTTTTCATCGGCTCCTAGCGACACTTTCCTCTCCTCTGATGGGCTGTTTTTGTTTGCATTTTGGTTTTGTTGTCATGACACCCATCGGAAAAAGCCGTCCCTTTGTTTGTAAGGCAATATTTAGCAATACTTGATTATGCGCGCAGTCAAGGTAAGCGGAAGTGATATTAGCAAAAATTAACTTTTGGGGATGGAATGACGCGAATACGAGGGTCTCTATGAAGTGATAACTTTCACTGCTAGCGATTAAAATATTGGCAAGTTAATGACTAACAGTTAATTCTTTCCAATGTTTTAAAAAGGAAAAGGTTTACGGTTAACTTTTTTTTATGACTAACGGTTAAAATTTTTCAATTATTGCGCTGAAATATTTTTCCGTTTTAAGGCAACGGTTGATTATTGAGACCTTCGAAAACGCCCACATTCTAGAAGTTTTATAGAATTTCTTTAAAATTCTTGAATTGAGTTGACGGTAGCAGAGTAAAATGCCATTTTACGTCTGATGCCGTAAACAGGAAATAGATATAAGCAGCCGAAAAAATTGTAGTTGTTAATTCCCTTATAAAACGGAGGTGGGTTCTCGGAAGGGCAGAATGACGGAAATGTCGCGTTCGTTCGTAAATATGTCTGTTAATGACACAGCTACCTGGATCTCTGATCATTTCTAAGTTTAATTCAGAAACTTTAAGGTAGTTTGGCGTGAACCACCTTCCGGCGCTCGTTTTTGATCAAAATTATTTCAAAAATTTAGTAAACATTACACCCTGAAGATGGAGAAAATATATTTAATAATCTTCCACCAGCAGAGCCAAATTTGAATTGAAATGGATTTCTCAGAATTCCGACGCACTCACGAAATTTGCGGAGGAAGTTCTCCAGAGGTAAGCGGCTTAAATATTTCCAGCAACATTTTGGTTTTTGTTTTTTATTTGTTGTATCGCTACCTGGTTTCAGAAAACAATAATAAAGATGATAATAAAGCTCATTACGTATTACGTAAGAGAGCTCAAAAGAATGTTTTCCCAGTAGGACAGACCAAGGCAGCTCGTTTCTGGAAAATTCCGGTGGCTACCGATCATGGAGAGGTGTCTTTTGTTTGCTGTGTTTTTCCTTCAAAATCGAGATATCGACATTTGCAAAAAATTCAAACGATGAAATATTTGGAACTGTGACGGAATGAATTGGTTTTAAAGCTAAGGGTCACTCCGCTCTTCTTAAGATTTAAATTTTAAAATTTGACCCCAGGCCCTTGGAGTTATCAGGAATTTCAAGAAAAAGGCCTTAGGCGGCTTTGTCAATGAGGAATAAACCATTTCCTCCTTCAGAATAAAAATTCTGAGCGAAGAGGCCGGAAATCACAGCAACTAATGACAACTACTTTTTGATTCAACAATTTTTATTGCCTCTGAAGCCTAAGCCGTACTGCTTGTCTTGTAAGCGGCTGATAGTTACAAATTGAACATCTATCTTCATACGTATATCTACATTTACCCAATATGCCCAATAAATATCATTTGACAGCATAAATAAAATATCCGGCTAAAATTTGTAAAACGATAACACGGTTCATATACTTTTACAAATTGGCTTCATTTGTGGCGTGTTAATGTTTATGGAATCGACTGAAGTTGTGAAAATTACTTCGAATCAGTCCAGCAGCTGCGATTCTGTGTCAAGAGAAAAAAGAAATCACATTTTAAGTTATACTTTCCAAAACATTTTAAAAATGCAAACCTTGTTTATAAATTCTTACCCAAAAAAAAAAAATGAAAATACTTGAACTCGGTCAAATATATAGAATTCTTGATTTTTCTTTTTTTCATTCTCTTTAAAAATGACTCAATATCCTTTCAAAGTATGAGTTGTTCTTTAGAATGTCAAATATGCAGTCATTTCTTATTTTATTCCTTAAATTTTGTCCGCAAAGTCCACTTTCCCAGTGGTTCAGCATGCGTGATTTCATACCTCAACGAAATATTTATTAATCGGGTTAGTCGTGGGCTGCGTTTTTTCAACAGCGATTTAAATTATTTGTAATTATATTTCATCTCAATCTAGAAAGATTTTAACACCTACAAAAATAATCAGCAATCCCCCACAAATGATTCCTGGCACGTTTTGGGTAGGTCCATATTTGCCCTTAATTATAGATTCAGAGAGTAACAAATTAGCCATTAAGTCAAGGATGAAATTTGACTGACTTACTTGATTGTTTCAAATTAATTCCACGTGAACCATTTTTTTGTTTCATCTTTCTATCACAACCTGGAAGTGGAGGGTCTTGGCTACACCACCACCAACGTTTAAATCTTCCAGCTGATCTCTCTGCGCGCCTGAGAAACGGCCTCTGCAATATCACATCTGCCAAACTGCAGCACAAACCGTAAAACCACTCGGTTATTTGAAATACTGGTGCCTATTAACCTCAGTTTTCAGACTGAACTCTTAAATATTCGGAATCTTTGAATCTCTGTTTGGTACAAGAAGTGTACGAGAGACTTACACAACCGTAGTGAATTCTCACCTTCTTCTTGTAAGACCATCCTTAGAGTGTAACAGCCATGTATTTTCACGCTCTCCCGATGCAACTCCCAACAGCACGAAAAAAATGGCGACAAAGGTTACTAACATTATGACTCCTTTCATTTTGTGTCACTGTGACAACTTCGGTACAGCTCGTGTCAGGTCACACCGATTTCGACTGAAATAATGCAACGTCTGGCTCGGAGCAGCTTTTTATACCTTTTTTTACAGGTGGATTCCGCATGCATGATGATGTAAGCATTTTCTGATCATACCGGTAAAGACCATATAAGTATTATTTTGACTTCCGTCCAATCAATTTTACTTGTCACAACAATTCTGAGTGGTACAATTCTACAGGAAAAGTGAGCATTAATTCCACTGTGTTTAAAATAACTTCGACCGCCCCTGTTCCCTCTCTGCAAAAGGTCAATTATTGCATAGAACTGCAATATTGTCCAAACATGGCTATAACTTCCGACAGCTGAAAGGAAAATATTGTTGAGGACAAATTAGCAAACGAAAATTTTTCTAACGAATCAGCCTCTCGAGGGCAGACGAAGAAGGAAATTGTGCTGCCAAGAGAGTCCAGAGTAAAAAAAACTGTTTTGCGTAAGAGGAAATAGAAAAAGGAAAAAACAAAGCAAATCTGCTTTCTTCAAAAAGTTGATTAGTGTGAGTATTGTGTTACTACAGCGTCGTTGATTGAAGGCAGGGGGTTTTAAGTTTGTCCAAAGCAGGTGGAATTTCATATAGGAATTAACTCATAAGACCTTTTTGTATAGAAGAAACCTTTAAGATAAATAGTCTACAGGCGTAGATGGACACAAACGCACTAAGAATAGACCAAGAAGTAACGATAATGGTTAAGAATGACTAAGGATGTCAAGGACTGTAAATGACGAACTTTGCGGGTAGAACTGATTTTCACGGTTTGCCGGATGTCGTAAAGCTAGTCTGCGGTCAAGATAACGAACATCAAAAATAATACCACCAAGTACCAAGTTTTTTTCTGCTCACGTCATGGCTGGCTAATGATCGTTTTGCAGATGAATCATCTCCTGCAGTGAAAATGAAAGCCCTTTTGCAAAATCTATAAATACAGGATCGATACAAGATCCGCCGGCCGGGGTTATTCAGGTCTAGTCGACCATAACGGCTTAGTGGCAACACAGAGTTTATTCCATGACTCAATGATCAGCTTTTTTAATCGTTCAATCCACTATGACAATTTCTCTTTGTTCTCTTCTCATTTATCGAGCATATTGGGCAAGAATTAGCTTGACTTGTAATGCACGAACTTGTTCCGCAGTATGGAATTATTGAATTCTAATATCACCCAGCAGTGCTCTTTTACTAAATATACTGATTAAAGAAACCAATATCACTGACTAGACGATTTCAACAAGTTACCTTGCACGGAAAAAAATGTTCAAAAAGAGTCGTTTCTTAATAATTAGTTATGGTCTAGGTTCGGTTTTACTTTGACAACAGGTGTAGGTGGGGCGTTGTGTAACAGGTCATTCACGCAGTCGTGTTTTAGTTTTTTTTTTCTTTCTTTTCTAACCGCAGAGGAGTTCTATCTACATATAATTCCTGCCTATTACAGACGCGAGTTCGCACACTCAGTTGTTTGATATTAGCTTGGGGAAAGATATTAGATGCATCATTAATTCTTTTGGTAGACATCTGATGACAGAGTTGGTTTTGCAACTTTCTTTGAAGGAATAATGATCTTGAGCTTAATTAAGCGGAGGGCATATTTACGAAAGAAGGAGTTTTACTAACTTTTTCCATAAGCGGCCGCCGATGATATGATCGGTGACTAAGCCCGGAACTGAGGGGCGTACGGCGAAACCCAAACACGAAGACCCTGCTCGTAAGCTTAACCGACGACCGTAAAAGGTTTCTAGGCGGCGGTAGATCGCGTAACCGGAAGTACTGCAACCACTAAATCCCTCTGTAGGAGTATATAGTTTACTGCGGTCAGTTAGGGCTCGATTGCGTCTAAACTAGCAAGAGCAATGACCAACTTTAGCACACTCCTTTAGCGTACCAATGTTTTTATGTTTTTCGTATTAAAGATTTATCGAACTCTTTTTTTACCGTCAAATAAATTTGATGTTTCAAGAAGATGAAAAATCTTACTAGATTTCTCACGCTACGACAGATGTTTTCTCACTTTGATGTGGGGGCATGAGTGTTTGGGAGAGCAAATGACGGGGTAACCACCCCCCAGAAATCTCACTAGGCAATCGGTTCCGCATGTCCGTTCTCCTCTGATGTGTGAGGCTTGTCTCCGGTTTGCGTGGTGAAAGTGATCACAATCTGCCTTGAATGATGGCAGAGTGTCATGAAGGGTCATCAAGGCCAGCCCAAGCGTTTTCTCCATCTGGGCCCAGTTGTATAAAGGACGGATAATGCTATCCAACGGATAGTTTGCTGTCCAGCGCATGAATGATGGCAAAACATAAAGCGTTATCCACCAGATAGAGATTTATCCAGTGGATTGTGTCATCTGACCTCCGAACAACCGGTGATAATCGGATTGAAAGTGACGTCCACGAAAAGTTGAGCCCTAGGTGAAAATGGGTTGACATTCAGCGGATTAGTAAAAATCTAACATGGCGGACGAGCACATATGGTGAACTTGATAGTAATCATTCGTTTCTGTCCTTGTTCTGGTGTAGTTTTTCGTTTTATCACTAGTTATGGAACTATCCAGAGAACTGGACGAAATTGACCAAGAACTCAAGCAAATTGAGACACAAATCGAAACTTTGCTAGAGAGGCAACAATTTCTCCAGTCTCAAAAAGAGTTAATTCAATCGCAAATTTGCAGTCAGCTGGTCCCTCGCGAACCTAGTTGTTCACAGAAAAAAGAAAATAATATAGAATGGTCAGCAAAGAATTTCTCTTGGTCGGAAAATGTGGAAGCTGCTCGAAAAAACACTTTTAAGATCAAATCTTTCCGTCCTCTACAGTTGGAATGTATAAACGCAACAATGTCGGGTTCGGATTGTATTTTAATAATGCCCACCGGTGGAGGGAAAAGCTTATGCTTTCAGTTGCCAGCTGTGATTTCGAAGGGGATCACTCTGGTTGTTTCACCGCTGATTTCTTTGATGGAGGATCAGCTCATGGCTCTAAAGGAACTGAAAATTGATAGTACGTTCTTGAACTCTACTTGCTCCAAAGAGGAGGTCAATGCAGTACAACATGCTATGGTAGACAAGAAATCCGGTTTGAAATTGTTGTATGTAACACCAGAAAAGATTGCCAAAAGCAAGAGGTTTATGGCTAAACTAGAGAAAACATATGAAGGTGCACAAATTCACATATCAAAGTTAATGAATTGCAATGTTAATAAAGTCTGAGCTGGAATATGTAGTTCTAAAGAAACTCCTTATTTTTTTTTTAAGGTGGCAGACTATCGCGAATCGTGATCGATGAAGTACATTGCACAAGTCAGTGGGGCCATGATTTCCGTCCTGATTATAAAATCCTAGGGATTCTGAAGCGTCAGTTCCCTGGGGTTCCAATTCTGGGTCTCACAGCAACAGCAACATCAAAAGTTGTTGATGATGTTAAGAAGATTCTTGGCCTTCAGCAAAACTGTGTATTCTTCAAAGCCTCCTTCAATAGACCCAACTTATTCTATGAGGTTAAAATCATCTTATTACTTTCTAATTTAAGCTGAGTTATTAATTTTAGACATTTTATTCAATTTTATTAAAATGACTGCATCATGTATTGTGTTAGTAAACAGAGTTGGTATTGACTATGGAAAAACCAGAAAACAACTGAGTATGCTATTTGCAACAGAGTGTTGTATTACTGAATCAAAAAAATCAGAATAGCTAATCAGATTAATCCTTTAACACCCATGGGTGACCTAGACAGAATTTCTCTTTATAATAATTATCAACACAATACCAAGCAGACAAGTAATGAGAAAAAAGAAAAATCTTCATTAGGAGATTATTGGTTGATCCAATACCAAATTCTCCAAACAAACATCACAAGAACTATATGGCAGACAGTAAGGAGAATTACTAATGAGATCTTGGGAGTTAAAGGATTGAAGGAAAATATAAGGAGCTCCTGATGCGAGTTCACAGTAAAATCAAGCAAGCTGCCACAAGATCAGCTGCAATTGGTTTTAGTTTTAAATCTGATTGGCTGAGACTGAGACTGAGTGTTCTGAACCAATTACAGCAAAGAGAAATTGAAATTTGCTCAATGAAGCTGGAGTCAGGAACTTTTTGATTGAACTCATTTTGAAACCAACTCAATTGGAGGTTGATAATCCTGAAAAAAAGTTGTGGAAAATCTTTAGATTTTGAAGAGCAAAGAAGTACCAATCCTACCTAAGTATTTACTTCATAAGCAGACAATAGTACCTGAATTAAAAACTGAAAAGATATCACTAGTTTCCAATTTGAACAAATCCCTAAGCTTTTCATGCTGTGCACACATCCCATCTCTTGTGAAGGCTACCTGAGGAAATGCAATATCCTATCTTTGTTTGCAGAGTATTTATGAAGGTTTTTTCCAGTATTATGTCATTTATTTATGTTCTACTTCACTTATCCTTTGTATTGTATCCCTTTAGAAGTTTTGTGATCAGAAAATTGGTAAACATTAAACAGATTCAATACTATTTTAAAGGTGCTGCAAAAACCCTCAAAGCATGATGAGTGTATGGAGGAAATTAAGAAACTACTGACACAGAAATTTCCAGGGCAATCAGGTATTTGTTTTGGTCTTGATAACTCAAGTTTAAATCTGGGGTTTATAATAAATTTTAGCCTAAACAGCTGCTGATGATGTAATTAGGTGGGGCTGTACCTGAAAAAGGAGTCGTAAGGCAAAACCCAGACACAGGCCTGCTCACAGCCTTAACAGACAGCAGTGAGAGGTGTTATAGGTGGCAGAGGATCACCTGTAACAGGCTTTTATTGAAACCACTGAAATTATAGTTGGAGTAAACTGGAATTTGTCACAGGTAGTTTTAACCCTTTAACTCCTGTGAGTGACCAAGACAGAATTTCTCCTTACTATATATATCTATACAATATCATGCAGATAAGTGATGAGAATTAAGAAAAATATCAATTTTGGAATTACTTGTTAATCAGATATCAAATTCTCCAAACTAATAGAATGAGAATCATTTGGCAGACAGTAAGGAGAATTACTGATGAGATATTGGGATTTAAAGGGTTAAGGGAACTAGCAATGAAAGGTAGCATGAGCTGTGGAGGTGATGTAATGGGAAGGGAAAATAGTGAAGAAAATCATGCACTTTTCATCTATTTTCCCTAGTACCCTGCCTTTAGACAGCACCATACTTTATGAGGTTTTTCATGACAGTCAGGGGCAAGACTGCTATTTTGAAATTGTTTCAAGTATTTGGCAAAAGTCTTTAAGCAGCTCGTATTAGAAATGTATTGAGGCAGAACATAATTTGCTTCTTCATCCTCAGTCATGCTTCTATATGTATTGTAGTATAATTTTTCTGGTGCTTCACCATGATCTATAAACCTTTGACCACTAAGAGTAACCAGTGTCTAATTTCTCCCTACATTAACACCCCTGAATCAAACACGAAGGTCATGAGAATAAATGAAATGATCACCAACTAAAAAAACTCTTGATCTTTTTAAGGGAATCAAAAGGGAAAAAGTACAGAGTGTACTTAAGTTAACCCTTTAACTCCCAGATCAAATTTTTAATTCTCCTTACTGTCAACCATACGGTTCTTACAATGTTAATACAGAGAATTTAGTATTGGATCAACCAATTATCCCCAAATTGATAATTTTCTTTATTCTCATCACTTATCTGGTTGATATTGTTTTGATATTGTAAGGAGAAATTTTGTCTTGGTCACTTATGGGAGTTAAAGGGTTAATCTAATGGGATGCAACTAATTTGCCTTGATAGCTTGTTTGCTTGGAGTGTTGCACCTTCATTGCAAAGTTATCAATTCAATCATTTTGTTTTTTGAGGGTTTATTTCATAAGCAAATATTTCAGCTGTGAACCACCTTACCGCAGTGATCTATTTGTTGCAGTGTAATGTATAAGGAAAAAAAGATCAAGATCTGTCACATCTGACATTCTTTTTTAATTTGTCCTACATAGGTATTGTGTATTGTTTCTCCCGAAAGGACTCTGTAACAATAGCCTCCAGTTTGAAGTCGCATGGTATAAAGGCTGCATGTTACCATGGTGATCTTGACAGCCAGTCTCGTAGTCAAGTGCACAGGGCGTGGACAAGCAATGCAATACAAGTAGGTATCACTATTATCAAATTATCAATTTGTTTCTAATAAATTTTAATGTTAGGAGTGTCAACCATTCTAATTTTAAATGAATAAAGGGGTAAGTTTCTAAAGAAACTGTGGTGCTACATTGTTGGGAGAGTATAGCAGGTAATTTAGTGTTAACAACTGGGTTGAAAACATAAATTAGCCACCATAAAGAGTAAGAAAGCTGACGTTTCGAGTGTTAGCCCTTCATATTACCTTTTAACTCTTAAGATCAGAATCCTAATTCTCCTCTTTGCTGTTGTAAATTTTCTTGTAAACTGGAACCAAGATGAACCCTCTCCAGTTTATAAGTCTGTTGTCATGTATTCTCATACTTGCAAGCATGATACTGTATTGGCAAAATGAATTTAATGAAAAGTTGCTTGTTAATCACTCCTGGAAGTCAAGGTGAAACAACACAATGATCCTTAGATTTGTACAGTGATTACCATAAAGGCTTAAAGTTATTTGGAAGCCAAATGGCTCCTAATTGCTGAAACTTTATCACTGTTTCTGTAGCATGAAGTGACTTCAAGTACATTTTCTCCTCCTGGATGGTATGAGTGTCTTTTGCAGGTTATCCCCGTGGAGTGATTTTCTCTCAGCCAACTAAACTAAAAGTAGTCCCTCCTTTTTGGCAATATATGTTGCATGATTTTAAAAAACCAGAAATAAATATTAACCTTTTGACTTCCAAGACCCAATTGTCAGTTCTCACTTCTAGCTGCTAGACATTTCCTTGTGAATTAGTTTGGAGAATTTGCTGTTGGGTCAAGACAACAACTTCAACCTGATAAGTTTGAGAATTCTCATGAACGTTTTGTTGTATAATGTATGGATATGATAAGGAGAAGTTACATGTTAATCACTTTTGGGAGTTAAAGGGTTAATGATCAAAGGGTTAATGGGGAACTTTAGGCTGACATCATTTTTTCCTTTTCGCTGATTTTTTTTCCCTTGTACAGTGAACTTGGCCAAAAAATGATGACTGCTTGTAGTCTATTCTCTTATAGCTTGTAGGTATTCATTCATTCTCCTGGGTGGAGAGGTACTGAGAGAGTAAGGCGTCGGCCTGCTCAAGAAAACAGCAAAATGGCCTGGCCAGGCTTTGAAAGCAGACCTCTCTATTGAAAGTCTCACATGTCATCTGCCATATTGAGGAGGAACAATGACTTTTTTCTATTATCTTGAGAAAAAGAAGAATTACATTAAGTGATGTTGTTGTTTGTTGTTTTATTTGCTCAGGTTGTGGTAGCTACAGTAGCCTTTGGAATGGGAATTGATAAGCCTGATGTCCGCTTTGTTATACATCACTCCCTTAGCAAATCCATGGAGAACTTTTATCAAGAAAGTGGACGGGCAGGGCGGGATGACAGAGAGTCTCACTGTATTTTGTTCTATCGTCCCTTTGACATGTTTCAACAAAGCACAATGGTCTTCACAGAGCAAACGGGCAAGTTTGTGACTCATTATAAATCAGTTTATTTAGATCATGGGTGATCACTTTGGTTGTTGGGAACTTGTCGTTACTTGCAGTTAAGGATTTGAAATCAAGGAGAGGAGCAAGGAGAGAGAAACAGAAAAGGGAGAAGGATGTGCCAAAATTTCTAAGGTGCGAAGATGGTCATAGGATCGCAAAAAGGAAAGAATGACTTACAAGTGACGAACGCAGAAAATTTACAGCTCATCTTTGTGCTCCTGTCGGAATTTTGCTGATTCTCTTGATTTCAATCGTTCAAACTACGATTTTCTTTTCCTTACCATGATTTTCGAAAGCTTTATTCAAAGCCAAATGCCTTCGATAACTTAGTACATTTATTCAATGACCAAGTACTATAAAAAAAGTCTGCGCCAACTGGAATTAACTTTAGCAATCTTTTCTAAATCTGTCCGGTTGGTTTAAAATAATTAAAAGGAAAACAACACACGACACTACGTTATTTCCTTTACACAGGTTTGGAGAATCTCTATGGAATGTTGGCCTACTGTCAAGAACAAAAAGTTTGCAGGCGCTCTCTTATTGGACGTCATTTCGGCGAGTCCTGGAACCCAGTTGATTGTCACGAAATGTGCGACAACTGCAAGAAGACTGGGGACCAAACAGACGGTAAAAGAACTTGATTACGTCAAGATACGTTTCGTTGACTCATTTTAACGTCAGCTAACTAGAACAAAGGAAAATATCAAAAGGAGCCAATGAGAACTCAGAGTAAAACCAAAAAGCTACGTAAAAGGCGAGAAAACGCGACTAGCCAAGTCTGTATCGGCTTCGATTTTAAATATGATTGGTAGAATTTAAATCTGATAAACAGACTAAGTGTGTGGTTTTTCTAGACCAATAACAAAGCGAAGTAATGCAAAAGGAAAGCAATCCCGGATTAATTTTGAGACTCAATTGGAAATTGCTCCATGAGAGGAAAGTTTTCGTGGATTTTCGTAGACAAAAACAGGAGCGCGGTTGACTAAGAGCGTTTTACGTCTTAAAAACGTTGCTTTTAAGATATTCGTAGTTGTTGACATCTGTGACGACGAACAGTTTTACCTCAGTGTCAGTTTCCTGTAGTTTGTTGTAAACAGCTGCAGCGTTACTGCTGCACGTCATTGTTCCACAGACTTTTTTTGCGCGATGAAACACAGCGTCTGAAAAAACTCTCTTTTTCTGTCCAGGTTCATCTTCAATTGAAGCCCGCGACATCACAAACCACTGTCAAGATATCCTCAAAATTCTCCAGCAAGCAGTCTCTCTTTCGGAACGAGTCACACCTGTGAAACTCGTAGACGCTTGGAACGGGAAAGGACAGGCAAGTCTGCGCGTGCGTGAAATCAAGGCCCCAGATCTTTCGCGGGAAGACTGTGAACGAGTGATAATTCATTTGCTGCTGGAGGGCGTGCTGCGGGAAGACTTTCATTTCACTCCATATTCAACTATTAGCTACGTGCTACCTGGGTCCAAGGCGAGAGTCGTACAATCAGGAACCAAACGGATATTCATGAACTTCAGGACGAATTCCCCTCAGAAAAAGGTTAGTGGTTATCTTGTTAAAACAGATGAAAAAATACGACAATTTTTAGCTTGTATTGAAATTTTTCCCTTTTCCAAAACTAGCGTGACTGTTCTTGAAGGAGGAGACTTGGTAAGGGTAAAGTGGTCTCCTTAGCAGTCGCTCTTTGAGATGTCACGCAACGTTTCGCTAAAAGACTACGAGCAGTCCATCGTGCGAGTGAAACAAACATCAATAAAAAATTGATTTAACGCGACGGACTTGACCAAAAGGCAGGGACTGCACGTAGTCTATTTCGCTAAGAGGTATCCTAAAAAACGGCTCCGAAGCTTAAGGAGACTGAGGAAGATTCTGTCAAGGAAAAATGTTTGGTGAAATTAACTCACTAGACAGAAAGATTTGGCGAGGAATTTTTAAAGCAATTAGTGTATCTAATCGCAAGGACGGTCCCACCGGACGAATAAACAGTGTTCTAACGTAACAGATATTTTCAAACTTTGTATTAACCGTCCAGTGCGTCACTTCTGCAACACGATTATGATGGTAAGAAGCGCGCCTGAATCCGGGTTGGAAACAATGACAAATGAATACAGCAACAAGTTTACATTTTACTTTTTCTTTCTTCCTGGAACTCACAGATTAAAAAGAAGACGCGCAAACGTGCTCTGAATTCCTCAAATCTGGATGGAAGAAATGGAACAGTTAGTAAGAAAAACGCCACTGATCCTAACGCTAAGAGCTTCACAAAGACAACCCACAACTCTTCGGACATCGCAGATTACTGCAATGGTGATGACTTTGTTAGTAGTATTAAACGCGCAAAGCTTTCCACACGAGCTAGCCTGGTTGAGTCGGATGACGATGATGAAATAATTTGTCTGGATTAAAATCTTGACAGTTCATCCCAGTATTCCACCTTCCTCAAGTGTTCTGTCGACATGGGAGCAGGTATTACTAGTTGAAATTGAATGACTGTTTGCTGTCAAGGTTAAACTTAATCCCTCGGTTCCACAGGACTTATTTTATCGGGTCAATTCACTGGTACGTCCTCTCGCTCAAAATTGAATCCATCAGAGATCACATCAACTTTGCAGGGCTCTCAATTAGTTCATTGCCAAGTAACAAGTGAAATGGCTAGGGAGCGTTACAAGGGGACGGCATACCAAGAGTCTACATCGTTGACACTCTTCCAAGCAGAGCCCCGCACGAAGTACAGCAACTGAACACCACTTATCTTGAAGACGACTTTGATTCCAAGATTAAATGTGCTGTTAAAGAGACTCGTTGTTTATTTTAGAATCTCGCAATAATTGCACGATTTGCAACGTTGTAAGAGAGACGACTTGTAAAGGTAATCCGGCCATTAATTTTTTTCGCTTTAATTAGATAATGACAGCTTTTCTATAAATAGCTGGGAGATAAATTAGTAAGGAATAAAAAAATTACTTTATGGAGTAAAGAAACAAAATCCTTAACGAGTTAAAATCTCTTGATTCAAAATTAAACAGTTCTAACAGTTTTCATATCGTAGGAGGTCCATACCCATGTAGGATCCTGATCTTATCTCTTCTCGAAGTACAAATCTCTGAGGCCCCGGTCCCTCCAGGTGCAAGCTATAAGAGGGCTCATTTTATAAGGTAGTCCGTGATTGGTCGTACAGCTACAGCCGTTCTCTTCTACAAGTTTTCCACATAATGGACATCTAATTGAAACTCTTTGTCTGAGTAAGCTACTGCTGTCCGCACTTTTCAATATGAAAGGAAAAAATTGTCAAACAAACTTTAATTCTCCAATGAAAGTTTTGTAGTAACCAGTCCTGATTTATCGCTGGGAGAGGCGGGAGGTGGGGAGGTGGATTTTGGTTGTGTCTAATCCCCCCTCCGTTCTCCCTGAAACCATGAGCTCCCCCCTAAAATAATTCTCCAACCTCCCCCGCCCCCTCCCCCTTGCAGAAATTACTGACTGGTCCCTACGATTGAATATTACCTGGTTATTGCTGACTGCTCTTTTCGAGGGATTACAAAACGCTCCACTCTTAGAACTGTACCAATTCCATCCATGTAATATTCTCGATGACTCTGAGCAAGCTTGATCGAAAATAGAACAAACAAACAAACTATCAGATACGATTATGGCTCCTGTATTGAGTTGGAGAACTTATTTACAGGTAACTTCAGGAACCTGACCTTAAAGTAAAATCACTTTAATTGAAAGGATCAGCGTATCGTTCATATTAGAGACGCCGACTTAATTTTGCTAATGCCATATTTCATGTATTTTTTTTTTCGCTAAATTTTACGAGTAGTCTTCCTGCTTCGATTTTACAGTTCCAAATTAAAAAAGGGTGTGATCTTATCGGCTCAGTCAACCTATATTTGAACTAAGCTCGACCTTTCAAGGGGCCTTATGTGCCTTACTGCACTGGAAGAACTTTGCACTGTAACCGTATTAGCGAGCAAGCCTCGCGGTTTGTTAATGTTGTCCTATGTGCCTTATGACAAAAAGCATTGATAATCCATCACACTTTGAGGCACATTGGTGTAAGTATCGTGCACTCAGTTTGGCGCGCGTAAAGCGTTAACGCGCGATGAAGCGCTCCTCTTCTGTTGTGTTTGCTGCTAAAGCGCGACGCTCACTCTAGATGCGCTCAAGTTATCCGAAGTAAATACCTGGTCAAATTCCTTGACTTCTCGTCCTCTTTCGTGTTCATTAAACAGAGAGTATTTCTTGGCATTGCGCCATCTTTCTCTCGTTCTCGTTCGAGCAGCGAGGACCAAGTTGGGCGTGTTGGAGTAAACAGTTGGAAATTCAGGTCTGCCATCACCGTATGTTCCTGGTTGTGTCGCCTTACTACTGTTCAGCTTAGCTGTCCTTCTGTCCTGGAAACACTTCGCTGTGGTGTTACCAAATGTGTCGCCGTAATGCCAGAACTTGGCTTGGGGACAATAGCCTGCATAGCTAAATGAAAACAAAGGTGCATTTTGGTATTGTTGAAAATTAAGCCTAACTGTTCTTAGTTCATCTCGTCAAATAAATTTCTGATTACGTTTCTTACCCTGGCACATGTCTTGGGTTTTGGAAAGTGGCCCGGTTTGTTGTGTTAAATGGGGAAAGCATTATAAGAACTAAGGTTGAGTGAACGAGGAAGTTTATAGTATTACATTTTGTTATTGTTGAAATTTTAACTGTTCTTAGTTCATCTCGTCAAATAAATTTCTGATTACATTTCTTACCCTGGCACATGTCTTGGGTTTTGGAAAGTGGCCCGGTTTGTTGTGTTAAATGGGGAAAGCATTATAAGAACTAAGGTTGAGTGAACGAGGAAGTTTATAGTATTACTATTACGTCACAAACACTTCATGACGCAACAAAGTAATGAAACCTCTCCCACACCTTTCCATTTTGTGGTGAAATTGAGCGTATTTAAAATATAAATTCCGTGCATATCAAATTTGGTTGAAACTGGTCAATTTGTTGGTTTTAGTCTCTAGAGAACGTGAGCAGCTGATATCCCTTAACTAAACCAAAAAACTCATTTAGGACACCGTTTGCGACCTCTTGCGCGACCTCCACGCTCTTGGGAGTTGGCCGAGTTAGCACTGGTATCTAAATTCCTCGACCCAATCCCCCAACGAACAAAAGGCGGTTGTTTTTGAAAGAGTTAGTGCTGAACTCAGAGGAAACGAAGCTTTAAAACCACCCTTTATGGAACGAGTTTAGCTTTCATGTCTCACTAAAGAAGAAATTCTCTGTTTCCCAGTTGTGGAAACATAAATACTGAATAGTTAAAAGCTACGAAAAGACGTGAACAGCCAAATAATTACCTTCGCGCCGAAAAGGAAACAAACATGGCGAGTGATGCTAGTGATGACAAGCGTGTTTCGCAAGTAACTTGTTACGATCGCTACGGCTTTGCAGTGTATGATACAAGTTCTGAATTTGCAGTTGATGACTGTAGAACCCACGAATACAGGTGAGATCGTGGTCATTTCTCACGTTATTGTAGCGCCTTCAATGTAGGTCTCTAACTTTAAATTTCGTGAACTTAACAAGTTTGCTGTAGAGTAGCCATACCAGACGGGACTGCTTTGTTTATACAAACGCTTGATATAAAATCAAACAATGCGTTATTAGTCTGTCGTATATATGGTTGCTTTGCATTCATGTATTGACGAGTTTAGTTGTAAAGATTGATCATGAAAGACCGCTGATTATATACATGTATCCTCTGATCACAAGCTGGTTGTCATTATAATCTACAGCTGAAGAATTGAGACCACTCTTCGGTGCTGTAGTCCCGACACATGTTTTTATCTATGTTTTAGACAAAGTTCCTTTACTTTCGACCAAAAATGTTTTTCCATTTTGTAAACTAGACAACATTCAGATGCTGAAAGTTCCAAAGTTAGACAATTTTGGACAAAGATGCTCTCAAACTGGGAGGAAAATCAGCTCTTTTCTCCTAAACGGGTAAGCAAAAATTTTTGTGTCAAAATAGACATGAATAAAAGCATTATAAACATTTTTGCAACTGACTCTTGGTTGCTGTCTCAGTTCAGATGTTGATCAACAAGCAGAAAATAGCAATGTCAACTTTGAATAGGTTCTTTGTTGCTATGCATCTGTTAAGTAATAGATTACAGATGATGTCAAAATGTGGCAAGAACAAAGAAGTTGCATGCAAGTCACAGCCTAGTGTGTCACTGATACAAATGTATACTTATTGCATAATGACACCTTCTGTGATCTATCATGGCAACATAGAATCTACTTGTTTTAATGTGATAAAGAAGCAAAAAAATGTTAAACCTTATTCTCCTTACTGTCAACCATACAAGTCTTACTGTATAATGTTAGTTCAGAAAATTTAGTATTGAATCAACTAATTATCCCCAAATTGATATTTTTCTTTATTCTCATCACTTATCTGGTTGATATTGTATTGATATTGCGAGGAGAAATTCTGTCTTGGTCACTCATGGGAGTTAAAGGTTTAATGGTCATGTGGTCTGTGCATCTGTCCTCCAATAGATTTTAACCTTTAATCCTCAAGAGTGACTAGCATCTAATTTCTCCTTACAATGTCACCCTTGAATCAAACATTAAGGTCATGAGAATAGAAGAAATGATCACCAACTAAAGCAGCTGTTGATTATTAAACAAATTCTCTTTGTCAGCACCTTGGGAAATGTGTAAATAACAGTATGGAGAATATAGATACTGATGTTAGGGAGTAAAGGGTTAAGTAAGAACCAATCAAAATGCATGGGTAATTCAGCTTATTGCAAAACAACAATTGTGAGAGTGTTAGTTGATAATCTTCCAGCTGTTGGTTGACATCTGGTCAACTGTCACACAACTATTGATCAACAGTTGAGAGATGATCAACCAACGGTTGACAGATACATTAAATCAAAATCAACTTATTCATTAATCTAACCTCTGAGCTCATGATTTGGTTCTACAATCTATCTGTAGTTCTAGTTAAACCAAGGACAGTTAGTCCTTAGTAGAGGTACCTTGTACACACTGTAACTATAGCCGCAGTATGGTTCTTTGATCAAGGGAGTCCTACATGATCATAATAATGTCATGGAGCATACATGTGCATTACACAGGTTCGGCGCTTCATTAAGCAAGGTGTACCTGATGACATGAGAGGAAAGATTTGGAACAAAATGGTTGGAAGCCAAGCTATCAAGGCTATCTCTTTATTTGATTACCAGGTAATCATAAGTACAGTTAATATCATTTTTTTTTTATTGGCATAACAGTAATGATAGTGTAACTAATGGTGCTGCGAAAATGTTACGGTTCCTGTGCATCAAGAAAAATTTAAGTTTCCAAGTTGACCATTTGTAACTCATATTAATTCTCTAAGTTCTTATACATGCAAAGTTTGTTCTTTCTCAGCTAACTACACATGACATTTTGTATCTTTGGTGTTTTACTTTTAACCAAACTAATTTTTAAAGTTCTATAATTTCTTAGGCCTGCTTAGCGGAGATACGCCAACTTCTTGTCGACTTGGGAGTCAGTGAATATGGAGGGACAAACTGTATTTCAAGACTAGGGCAAATTGTTGGTGAGATTACAATCTGATATTCCAGTTGTAATTAACTACATGTACATGTATAATGCAGTCAAAAGTGATTTCTATCCTCTAGAATCAATGCTATGGAATCATTAACTGTGAATTGCCTCTTTAAAAGGCTTCTTCTTGATTTGTATTAATTTTTAAAGTTGACTTGATGCTTCAATTCCAAGTTAACAATCTTAGTATTCCAAAATAGTGACAACTTTTTACTCTTTACTGTTTGTGATAATCAGCTGTCTTTGCCTTGATGGTAGCTTCAATGATTTTGAAACAGTTTAGCTTGAAAGGAAACAATAAGAGCTGATATGGCATGGAGACAAAAGAATATATTATTTTAGGATATACAAAAGTCAAGGCTTTAGTTTGTATTCCAGTCGCTAGATAGATAGTTATTACTCTTATTATACCTCATTTTCATTGGAGTGGTAAGGCCTTTTTCCTGTACAAGCTATTTTTCATGGAGTCAATGCCATTTACATGTACATTGTAATTCTCATTTGTGTTGTAGGGTCACTGGTCGACAGCAACAAGGAAAATCTCATAGATAGCCCTAATACTGTCATCATGACAAGACAGTGGAAAAGGAATCTTCATAAGCAGATATCAGTTTTCAGACAAATCATGTTGGATATAGGTAGGTAAATGTAATAGTTTGTAATATTTCCCTTGTGCAGTATACCTTTCAAAGTTTAATTGCACCTCTCCGAAAATTGGAAATGAACTTTGATTTCTTTGACAGGGTGTGAATTAAAAATACTCATACCAATCTGTGTGCTTTTGTTTGCCTCATTAAGTGCCCAAAGCAATCCCAAAATTCCATCCCACACGTACTGTGCTTTATCACTTCCACTTTTCCCTTCTTAAACAAATAAATCAAGGTTCACATAACTGTACTTACATTATTTAGACAGATCTTTCCCAAGTCATAAGATGTTCATAGAAGGGACAAGTGAAGGAAAAGAGGGAAGAGCAACTCTCTTTAGAGTTCTGGCAGTGTATGCAATGTATAATCCTCAAGTGTCATATTGCCAAGGTAAACCTCAGCCTGTTGTCCACCTTTTGGCAAATGCTATCTACTACTGGTACTTGTCATATTGCCAAGGAAAACCTTGGCCTATTTTCCCCTTTGTGCAAATGCCATTAGCTAACCAGTGCTTGTTTTACCTTCTAATCTTAGCTTCTAACAAACATTTTTTTATTCCTATTGATAATTTTCACAGGCATGTCCTACATTGCAGGAATGTTTCTTATGAACATGGATGAGGAGGTAGGTTTATTTGATGTTTGACTCTTCTCTCAATAACTAGTCTCCTTAAAATAGTTATTCAACAAGCACAAACAGGATATTAGGGATTGCTAGATTAAGCCAGTAAGGGGTGGAATAAAAGTCATTTTGAATCATATTTTCTAAATAAATTTCCCATAAACCAATAAAAACCCTCACACTACAGGACTCCAGTAATCTAGTATGTAAAATAGAATAATCCACTCCACAACCAACATCTGGATGGAACATGTACTCTTCAATGCATTTGTCACTGAACAACTTTTCCTTAAAATGAAGACAATTTGAAAGAAAAAATGACAGAAATTCATTTTTTTAATTTTATGATTAAGAAAAAATTTAATTATTTTTCAGAATTTAAATTTTTTTGGAATTGAAAAAACAGCATTTCTGTATATGATTTTGAACTATCATTAATTTACTGAAACACTCAACTGTTTTTTGCAATACAGTGATATACTTGATTTTCTTAAAAGTATCTTTATACAATTTCTTTCAGGATTCCTTTTGGTGTTTGGTTTCTATGTTTGAAAGACCAAAGTACTTAGCCGGCTATTTTAATGATTCACTTGGAAAGTAAGTTCCTTGACAGTAACACCAAGAGAAAGCTTAGTTTTGCAATTGACTGTTTTGTCCTGACTGTGTCCTTTTTTTGATGAACTTTGCTTTCCTCCATTCTGTGATTCAACCAACTCATCAGATGGTGATAAAACCTTCTTTTCCTTTTTTGCAAACAAGTTTCCTTACAAGTTACTTTCTTTTATTTGACTTGCATTCTCAATGACTGATTTTATTTACCTGTAACACTAGTAAGCCTTACTCTTTTCATCTGAAGAGTAACACCAACAAAACTTGTAACAAAACAATGTAAAAAAGTTGATTGTGTGGCATAACTAGCTTCCCTGTAGATACACACTGCATATTATTTAAATGTCATACAATGTAGCAGTCTGAAATTTACTGCTTCTATGTCATATCTTTAGGATACAAAGACATGCATCAGTTTTTGAGAGACTAATGCGACAGAGACGAACCAAGCTATACAAACACCTGGTAGAGTCTTTTTACAATTTTTTTCCAGTTGTCTAGTTGTACACTTCCATTTACACCTTCTTGGGGTTAGGGTGATAAAACTGATCTGATGGTGTTCTCTTACGGCAGTTTTGAGTAGTAGGTTCACAACTGATTCTTAACAGCTTGGCAATAGGCCCCTCCATTTGAGTACATCTTAAGGATTTCTAAGGCAGACAGATCAGCAACCCCCAGGGGTGACAATAAAAGTGATTACATGTCAATTGAAATTTTAAGAATGGAGGGGCATGTCAAAAATTAATCATCAATGTCATTTGTAAGATACTTATGGCCTAATACGTTAAGTTATTGATACAAGACCATATTTTGTGAGACTTAGTATAATTATGAAAATCTACAGGTTTTGAAATTCAAAGCCTTCTTTGGGAAAACAGTTTAGTACACAATTAAGACCTTTTCTGGTGGCAAATAGTGATGCTCAAATCTGAATTCTAGGAGATGCATGGTGTGTCACCTCTCATGTACCTGACACCATGGTTCATGGCCTTGTTTACATCTCTCCCATGCTGGGATGCTGTGCTCACCATTTGGGATTTGCTTCTCTTGGAAGGTATGATGCTGTGGTTGTGATAAACAAGGTTTACTTTGTGAGTAACCCTTTACTCCCTAACATCAGTATGCATGTGGAGAATTTTTCCACAATTCAGAACTTCTAAAGTTGATGATCATTTTCTTTAATTTCATGACCTTAATTTGTGACTGCAGGGTGATATTGCAGGTAGAAATTAAATGCTAGTCACTCCTAAAAAGAGAGGATTGTTTACAGTGTGCCTCCATTGTATACTATAATTGTTCATGGGTTGATTTTAACCCTACGCATTAAGCTCACTGAATTGATTACCAGTACTCATCTTTGTTTCAGGCATGTCCATCATCTTCCAAGTTGCCCTTGCACTTCTGGACGTCTTGTCAGGTTTGCCATTTTGTTTTATTTTTGAAAATGTTGATATTATGGTTGTTATTGGTTTGGCAGTTTATTTATGGATTGCATCTATTAGTTGTACATTGAAGTAGCTTCCTTTCCTTTCTCTTTTCTTTGTGATCTATCATTGGTAGTGTGCAATATGTCAGAGAGAATCCATATATGTATGTCTTATTCACCAATTTTATGGACCACTCTGGAGAATGCAGAATGTGAGACTTACATGTACATCTTCATTATTTGGAATTGCAGTTGAGATTCTTCCATTGACAGAAATAGCACAAGTTCTGCCAATATTACTGCGTCCTTCAGCAAGTTTGTAAGTCAATTAAAATCTATGAAATGCTCTCTTATTGAACATAATGCAGCTGAACCTTGAAACAAATGCCACCTTAATAACAAAGGAGAGAAGCTATGATAAAGAGGTTGCTGTCATAGGGAAGTGAGGGTATAGTATGGTGAAGTCTGTTCTTGTGAGCCATGTGACCCATCCACCTGAGCTTGTACTGGTTTCCTGCTCCCTCTTGGATGGGATGCCTGTTCATCAGGGTTACCTCCTGGCAATTCATCAGGCTTCCCTGGGAATTGGCTGGTACCTATTTATACTCCTGGTTGGAGAGGGGCACTGTGAGAATAAAGTGTCTTGTCCAAGCACACAACACAATGACCTGGCCAGCTCTTGAACCCAGACCTTTCATCCCAGATTCTGGCTCACCTACTATTAGGCAACTGTCTCTCAGACCAATAAAAAGACACCAGAAATAAATGCTAAAATGAGGAGTGTTAATAAAACCAAACAGTCTTTGGTCAAGTTTGTTAACTTTTATTTTCTCTTACATGAAAAAAAGCTGTTAAGGATTGTTTGCTTGAGTGAGCTGTCTCACATTTTGCTGACAAGATCTTCATTTATTGTTTAACCCTTTAATCCATACAGTACCACTACTGAATCAAACATGCAAGGTATGGGAATTCCCACTAAAGAAGCTCCTGATTGTCAAACAAATTCTCCCTGTGGGTACCATAGAATTTGTTGAGCTAATAATATGGAGAATATACATGTTGATGTAAGGCTGTAATTGGTTAACCCTTTAACTCCCAGATCAAATTTGTAATTCTCCTTACTGTCAACCATACAATTCTTAGGATGTTAGTTCAGAGAATTTAGTATTGGGTAAACTAATTATCCGCAAATGGACATTTTTCTTTATTCTCGTCACTTAACTGGGTGACATTGTATTGATATTGTAAGGAGAAATTCTGTCTTGGTCACTCATGGGAGTTAAAGGGTAATTAACTATGGATGAGGTGTTTAGGGTACATTAATCTGAGTCCAGTTTTACCACCTCAACAGGATCACTCGTGAAAAGCTGGTTGCCGCAATTTGGAAAGTGAAGCCAATTTTAAGATGGGAAATTGACTCAATTCAAGCCATACTTGATGAGGAAGAGGCCGGTTGCAAAGGTATTGTGTTTATTGTACTCGTTGTATACCTTTGGAGCTGATGTAAGACTTTTAAGTAATCTTATTCGCTGATGATCCCCCTTATAACTTGTACCTAGCACAAAGAAGAATGTGTCCTTCCTCATGAAGGCTTTCAATTTTTATACCTGGTTTAAGAGTTTTTCCTGAAAGGTCTCCAAGAACCTCAGCTGAAACTGTAGTTTTTAGAACACCAACAAGCATCTTTGCGTACCAAAGCGGGACTGTTCTTGTATCATGGCTTAATCTGATTGCCATCCTACCATTCTCCAGGGTTTACGACACACAATACAGCTCACGCCTACTTAAGCAAATTCCACGCGCGAAACACGCAAATCTCACGCATACGAATGCGTGAAGATTACACGCAATCTTCCAACTGTAACTACTGTAATCAAGTACAGTTCGTGTTTTGCAAAATGTCAACGACTTGTTTTCCTGCTAATTTTTCTTCTTTTACCACTCCTCTCAGTTTAAGGAGTAGCACGCCATTACCACATACATGTTTGTGTAGTAAAATTTGGACTGGAAGATTGATTTAGATACAAGTCTTCTATTCTATGCCTCTGGTTGTTCAGTACCAGACCAAGGAATCATTTGCAACATTACGCGCGTGTAACGAGCAAATGCGTGTTGTTACTTGCGCGGAGGTATTTATTCGCTCTTATTCCTTGACTTGGTAGCAAATACAACAAGAGGTAACAAGAGAAGTTTGAACAATCAGAATGAGGACGACAACAGGAAAAGACAACGAACCTTCAGCAATCAATCCCCTCAAGGTAGAATAAAAAAGGCTTTTAAAGATAGGGAGAACGGTTGTTTCTAAATATACATGTAGCATATTTTCATGTTTGTTGCTGTTTTCATTATTCATGTAGCACCGGCTGAACCGTCCCTTTTCCAGCGCTTTATTGGATTTTTTTCTTCGAACGATGAATCAGAGGTCAAATTTAGCACTAACGACATCGAGATGACCACATTTTCAGTTGTCAGCGGGCAAAGTCCAAGTGTGCTGACGCCCTCGTTATGCTGTTCAGCAGCAGGAGCCTTGAAGACACAGCATGGAAAAGGTTTGTGTTATTGACACTCGAGAAACTGCGTATGTCACGAAATAGCTTGTAAATCCATGGCAAATCTGTTGCAAAGCTAAACTTAGCAGTGCTTTTGAAAAATATAAAAGTGGTGACATTAAACCCACAACAAGGGTTTTTTTTAACCTCAAGCAGACAACCAACGCTGAAGGTTGCATACGTTTTTCAGCTCTGTCCAGGCAGAAAAGAAACGTCACATTGATGTAGCCTCTCCAACCAGGAATTCCGCATTACAATCAACTTTTCTTTAAATAACTTACAATATCCCCATCTTGTTCCCCTAGTGAGCGGTCTTAGGAAGCCCGTGGGTCAGCACAAACGTCATAATCGTTACAATAAGGTATCCCGCAGAAGATCTAACAATGGAAAAGATGTGCTTAGAAGACGTCACGTGGTTTTCCAAGGCAGTCTGGGGAGTCCTGTAAGGAGAAGTCCGCGCTTCGCGGGACAGCGAACCCCTGTGGGGACTGTGGTGAGTAAACAGCAGTAAAACTGAAGGAATTATGGAACGCAGCGAAAAGATATCCTTGATGTGAATAGTCAGTTGGATGAAATTAATTGGAAGGGTGCATTGTTATTAATTTTTAAAATTCCAAGATATGATTAATGATTAACGCTTCCTAAAACATTCACAAATTATCCAGGAAACATATTCTTACAAAAAAACTTGAAATATAACTACTATCAATGGAAGCAAAAAAACTGCCGGCACATCCAGCACGCGTAATTTTAAAAGACGTGTACCGCTTTAGCTATATACTGTTTGTTGTGCTTTTTCGTTTTTTAACAGCACTTTTTTTAGCTTTGCCGTTATTCCTATCTTGTGATCAGTTTTTATTCACCACAAACTACATCAGTTATTGCCGGATAGGAACATCTCAAAATACATTTTAAGGAGGCCACGCGTTTCAAACGTATTGCGACTCGCACAGACCGTTTTGAAAATACCTTCATTTTCGATATGGCAAGCAACTTGTGAATGTATTTACAACATTTAAGCCTATAGTATTTTATATTATATGTAAATCATAGATCCTAGCATTATTGTAAATCATTATTATCAAACTTTTTACCTTCATTTGAATTGTATTTTGACGCAATTTAGTCTGCGACTGCGATGTAACCATCCAAATAAAGCTATTATATTCTATTCTATTCATGAAGTAGATTACCATTACCTTGGTAAGTTTAGGTTCCATATTGGTAACGTCTTCATCTTTTGTCTGTATTCTTTTTTTGAAGGCAAAGGTCCAGTCTCCCAACAGTCTGGTGCGAAGGTAAGTGAAACAATTTAAAGTAATGATATCATATGGTGCAACCTCTTTTCAAAGGGCGTGCAACCTCGTGAAGGCATTTTTTTTTTTTTCATGGTGCCTCTCTCTCTACCCAGGAGCGTATAGGGGTAGGAACATATTATCAGGAAAACCTGATGAAATGCTGGGAGGGGGTTAACATCCTATTTTCTGATATCCCATACTAGGGAGTAGCAATACCCCTTGTCGCTTCATGCTACAGAGCAATTTTCAAGCAAGTGTCGAAAGTAATCCAAGATTGTACTGGTTGTACTTTACTTCGATCTGTGATTGGGCCAGAAAACTTACGCCACCCTCTCAACCAATCAGAGGCAAAACTAAAGCCAACCATGGGCTGGTCACCCACGTTTTCCCGCGCTTCAGGCAGTTTGCTTGTTTTGACTTTGAGTTCGAACTGACTACGTAGAGAGAGCACTGTAATGCTCTCCTTTGTTGTGACTGATCTTCGTGATTACTTTGTGTTTGGTTAACGACACTCAATCAAAGAGCCACTAGATTTGTACGACGTACTTTTACCTTGTTTGGTTTCTTTAAACAAGCAACTGGTTGCATTTTAGTAAATTTTCCTCATTGGCTGGGAAAAAGGTGCGATTTAGAGCAAAAAATGGTGCGATTCGTGAATAAATCGCACCAATGAGAGCTAATCAGATTACAAGAATCACCAGTGATTTTAAAATGGATGTAATAAACCATTAATAACTTTGCATTTTGTTGTATTCAACGATCTTTAGCTCTGCCACAAATCAACACGCCTTCAAGCAGTTCAATACTCCTACCCCTCTCAGACGCTCTCAGGTATGAGTACATTTGCATCTTTTTCGTCCTTCAGCTGTATTTTCATTGATACACGTAAAAAAAAAGTCAAATGCGTGGGGAACGTAGTGGTTCATTAGTTTACGTGCTGGATTTCGAACCGAACGATCTGGGCTCGAGTCCTGGTCGAAGTGACTTTGTTGTGGTCCTCTCTCTATACTCAAGAGTGCAAATTATACAGTCATCAGGGAGATGGGATAAACTGATGGCCTGCAGAGGACTGGCAGACATCTTCGTTTGTCACCATTTATCTGAAAGTTAACAGTTTCTTCAAATTCCCCCAAATTGACTCGATCATTTTTCCTTCTCTATCGAAAACTTAAGGATCAGGTCGGATCGAGTTTCAGGACAATTCAGTTGAGCTTCGGGAATACTGCAATCAAACTTGAGAAAAATATTTCCATTTAATTTTGCAGGTTAAACCCCTTTTTCAACATTCCCCGTCAACTTTTGAATCATCTCCAAAGACACTGACGTCACCTGACCTCTTGATGTCTCCGGATTTGGAAATGACGTCATTTGAATGTAAGGAGAAGAGACTGGACTTTACGTAGGGATTATTGGCTTAGTGTTACATGGATTTACTCTAGAGAAGTCAAGATTGAAGTGGATCATCACAAGTTTGTTGACGATGAGTACAAGATGTGATTGTTTGGCGCGCATAATAAACTACGTACATTTAAGAGCAGCTACAGTGCATTGTAAGCCTTATTCTGTCGATCTTTGTTGTCCCCTGAGGAGAAATGTGGACTTCCTGCGTGTGACATAGCTTTAAAAATTTCAGAGGAGGTCGCAAGCTGTTTTTACTCGCTAAGAAGTCTTGACAAAATTGAAAACGTTGGGTCATTTTCAAACCATTTTCAACTGAGTCTCGAAGGTGATCCGGAATTCATTGGTTTTGATTTGTTTGTGGTTTAGAAAACGTACGCTCGCTAAATCCCCAACCGAACAGAATCAAACTAAAACTTGCCGCGACTCAATCACGTGCGTTCTTACTGCGCTTCTTTTTTTTTACTTCGAGTTCTCGTCTTCTCTGAAGAGCCTACCACTTCCTTTGTTCTAATCGGCTGGCTGTGATAACTTTGGGCTTGGCTTTATGACACTCAAAAATGATCCTCTGGTCGTGATAACATGATTATAATTGAATGGTTTATAACTGAAAAACCTTTTATTTACATGAAAGAAATTTTTATGTATTGCTTTCAATGGGTCGTTGCTAGAATGAGTTTCAGAGCTGCTTTAACCTGACATGTTACCTCACTAACTTTCCTCAATAAGTGTGGTTTCCAAACTTTTTCGCTTTTTACAGTTCGTTGACTTCAGTTGCGAGAAAGTTCTCGCAAATTCTGACTAGTCATCGTTACTATTAGCAACCATTCCTGTCGCCATGGCATCCGCCAAAATGTCGAATGTCAGCTCCCAGGCTTTGCGGCATTCATCAGTGAAGAGCTCTCGTAATTCTTGGGAAAGTGTGAACAGCAATGCTTGTTTCACTACCTGTCAATAACAAATAAAATTTAACATTATGAACCAAAATACATAAGCAACAATCTAAAGATAGGTTCCCGAAAGCGTCAGTTCCAACTCGTATCTTTTTCGTCACAAATACTTTTCCCTTCGGTCCCGACTCTTAAAGATATGCTCATTATTCTTTCATTGTATTTTTTACATACCTTAAAACACATTTCCTCTTTATATTTAAAAAGGAAAAGTCCGTGTTGCTTATGAATAATTTTCGTATAGCGCAGTTAAGATATGTTCCAATTCCTTAAAAATACGCTCCCTTGCCTTAGTAATATTCTCCGCTTTAAAACTGCCATTAGTATACCTAAAATAAAACGTTTTATCCACGAGACCTCACTAACCTCACTACACGTTTTGCATGTGCTTAGACTTGTTTTCTTTACTTTTCTTTCATGTTTTGTACATAAAGCTGAAATATGCGTTTCCCGTCCATTTGTAATTAATTTATATTGAAGACAGGTTTTCACTGACAGCTCATCACGATATAGGAGCCTGCGATACTTACGTTAAGCTGCTGTCTTTTTATTCCCATGTTGGCATGAATTGTTCCCAGTCTCTCCAGAGTAGGTAGTAAAGGGGTTAGGTCGTCTAGATTTTGTAAAGCTTTATCTAAGGTACTGATAACTGACGTGATATGACCTTGGAATTCGTCGCTCTCTAAGTCGGAGCTGGAGAAATAGTCCTGGGCTTCGGGAGCGATTTGAAATATCCTAAAAATCGCAAAAGAAGTTAACAAAAGCAACCTAAACACTGGCTGTGAGAAGCGTAGTCAGATGTCTAAAGTATAATGTAGTGTTTTTAAAAAATTTAAATCTAAGGGCACAACGTCTCCCTAAGCTGTCAAGAAAATCGAAGGCTTAGCAAAACCGGAGGAGTGAGGAACATTCACGGCGATGGAAACAAAGGGGAAAGTAAAGCTCAGCATTGATAAACACGGGCGAACAGAAGAGGTTTGAGCGGTTTTGTAAACACTCCGGAGTGCTAAGTCATTACTTGCTGTTAACATGTTGCAGCTCCGTTTTTTGACCTCCGAAAATCATCAACTTGTTTTAAAACCGATAAAGAAACGTCTGGAAAACAGAACTATAGCATTATCTGCGCAATCTGTAAACGTTCATCTGTCGAAGGTCAAGTGTTTTCGAGAGGCTATATCTTATTTGTTTACTATAAAAACTGTTTCTTTCTGTTTTCCATTATTTTCATTTTCAAACGTGGAAATCTGAACAGCGTTTGTCTGGTTTATAAGTTAGTTGATGAAATTCACTTTACACGAGTGCAAGTACCGCACATGTGGACAGTACACTGCGAGAATCAATTAACAACTTGTTGAAGGCGTGAAACTGTACACCTTGTTTAAAATTCAAGACCCCGGAAACCATACCTTATATTGACGGTACACAGGCATTTAGGCCAAAATGGGAAGTTCTCCTCGGGGTAAGGCGTCACATAAACGTTATCAATTAATAACGCCTGATTGCTTAAGTTCTTAAGGGAGCAGTCGGAAGCCTGAGAATGAACTTTGTTTGTGGAGAAGAATGTCGATCAGTGCGAAAGTTTTCTATGAATGTTACGTTAAAGCATCTTCCTAGCTTCGCGCACAGGGGAATAAGCATTGTAATTCAAAGCCAGTCAGTCAGGCGTTAAATTGCTTACAGGCATTGAATCCATTCATAATTTACATATAACGTGACACTGAAAATTCGATACGTCACAACAATCTGATTCTTTGGTGATCATTCAAAAATTACTTTTCACTTGAAGGATAATAAGAAATATCAGTTTGTTTAGATGGAACAGCATTGAATTGGAAAGAGTGAAGCAGAGAGTAGGACGCACCGTTAAAAGATAAAAAAAAGATTGACGTGGATTGGAGATAATAAGCTTGAAACATGTGGCTCTGATTTTTCAAAATGCCTCAACCGACTGACCGTGTCCTATATCTGCATCAAAGCCGGTCGGCGCACAATACTCGCCTTTTGAACAATTTTTGTCCGGCCTCTCTTTCTGGCTTTGTCGCTTCCCTCCACGTGTCCCTGACAAGAACTTTATCATCTTCACTAAGTGCTTTTGACGAGGGAGTCAGATTGCTGCCGGTTGCGCTCTCCATAGCTTCTTGAGTTATCTTCTGCTCTCTAAGGGTAAAAGAGACTGATTGTTTACGCGCCTTTCCTAGATGGAGTCTGGCAATTGTTTGATAGAGGTCTGGGGTCGAGTTCATTTAGATGACTTTGCTATCAAAGCTCTTAGCACGAACAATATTTTAAATCTTAGCAAAATTGTGTCAAAAAAAGAAAAAAAATTATGCGAAATGGATAAGAATTATGGCTGTCATAATATTAATGATAGCGAGTCCTCATTAAAAGAGGAATGAAACTTTTGATCACATTTACGAAAGGCTGGAATTAACTCTCTTATCGTGTTCTCTCTCGATTGAAACGGAGACGAAATAATTCGTAGAACCAAAAAGACGAGAAAAATCATGAAGAGCTAACTCCATTTTCTCAACTCCCACAAACATTGAATGTCGATTTTCTCCGATAGTTTTTCCTGTTTAAAGGAAATTGTCGTTAATTCAGTGATTAGTTTGATTTGCATTTGGAAAGATAGAGACTTAATTAGTTTTCAGTAAGTGTAGCGTTTGCTCGCAAGCACACATTTTGCGTATTTTTTGCCTCTCCATGTAAACTTACCTTCCCATTAAATTGTATCAAATAAATTCCTCAATATAGCGTTTCAAAGTTCTGATAACTGGTTACTTTATGATAGTCGAGAATTATAAACCCTAGGTGTTTTAAAATGAATTGTTTTAAACATATCCATTGTTTTTAGCGGTGAATTTTTATAAAGACGAGCTGTGCACCATTCTAATGGTACGCTATTGTACACTTCTTTTCTTTCCATAGATGCGCTAAAAGCTGAAAGTTGCGAGTAAAAAAAAACATTAACTCCAATTGTCTTGGTAATAACCAATGAGATTTGCGGTCATCCATGAATTATAGTCGGTTCCTTTTATTAAAAGATATGAATCTTCACGATCGTTAAGGGAGTTACACTGAAATGCTAGAGAAAGATATTTTATGAGTCTGTGAAACAATAGCCTTAAAGTCTTCATTGGGAGATCATGGTAGATACAGAATAACCAAAATTTTTTTTCATAAATACGGTAGCATTTCTAGACCAACAGCTACAGCAGTTGGAGCAATTTTCCTCTTTTCTTTTCTTCTCTTTTGATTTGTTTTCTTGACTCTGTGGCTTATGTTATTGCACTGACGTGAAGGGAAGGGAATACTTCATATTGTCTCTGTCTACTCTCTTCTTTGGATCTTTAGGTTGGCTTTATCGGCTGATATTTTCAATATATCTCCAAGTATTTCCCACCCAATCCAAGATAGAACTGACAAAGGGTAAAGCACAACATCATAACTGGGTCCGATTCATACCTTAATCCTCAGCGACACAGCGGTGGTCAACGGCCAGGCATGCGCAAGAAGATCAATTTTATCAGGTCGCTAATTTCCCGTGCAAAATTACAAAGGAAATTATGAAACAACCGCAGTTATGAAACTTATGCGAAGACAAATTTAAACGTGAAATCTGTGAACCTGGTTAGGCTGCCAAAAGCTGCTTCTCTGTTCTTTCAAGTTTGACTTTTAAATATGGCTTCGGCTATGTTTAGTTACCGGGATTTTCTAGAAAAGGGCCCCTGGTTCGAATCTTACCTTTCTTCTCGGTATCGAAAAACACTCTTTTGACAATCTTCGTCTTCTTCTAGAAAAGGGTCATAAGTTGTACCTCAAAATTTGATTTTATGGACTTCACCGTCAACCATCTACACGAATGATCTGCCCAACGTCATTGAGAATGGCACTGTTACCTTGTTTGCTGATGATACAGCCCTACACTGTCCCTCAGCTTTTGGATGGCACACTGTGCTAACTGAAGACCAAGTCAGACTATCACAGTGGCTGTATGAGCAAAAACAGACATTAAATGTTTCAAAATCTAAATGTAGGTGGTCAGACTATCACACTAACACACTAACACACTAACGCACTAACACACTACAACACCTTTGTTAGACTATGCGGTTGTCACATGGGGAGATTAAAACTATTTGACTCCTCTGAAGAAATTCCAGATGATACAAAATTAAGCTTCCAAAATCGTACTCAATATGCCAAAAGATTCATCTGCTAACGAGGCGCTCGATCAGCTTGACTGGGCCAGATAACTTGATGAAAAGGAGATTTCTTAGACTGATATTGTTTTATATTTATTGCTTTAAACGGTTTTTATTTTTTGTGGTGTTTTCAATTTCATAGTTTTAAAAACATTCTTAATTACTGTGCAACTCTTTAGGTAGAAATAACATCTGTAGGCACCTGATATGTCACTCCTGGGGACAAAACCGGTTTATTTATTTAGGTGCCAATGATTGGAACATCTCATCTGCACTGCTGACATTTCGACTTTAAGTAGACATTTTAGAAGTACTCATTAAATGTTATCTATGCTTATTAAATAGTGGTCGCAGTGAGCCCACAATACTTGACCACGCCTATAGCTTCAATTTTCAACTTCAATTAAAATTAAAATTTTCAATTATCACTATGTAGGCGTCATTTTTATTATTTCTGTAATTTATTTTACGCAGGGCCCCACAGGAAAAAAATATTTGTGACGTGGGCTCCCGTTGATATATTTTTATTACCATTTTTTTATAACCACGCTTTTACAAATTTTTTTTTGATAGAAAAACGTGTCCTACACTGTGCTAATGATCAAAATATGTTATTTACATATGGCGTGAGTTTTGATTCTGTTTCTATCAAAATATATAGTTTTTTTTAGTTAGTGTATTGGTAATCGCATAAAACCAAGTAAAATTAAGAGTTAATATCATGCGTGTTTTCAGAAGTTGCAGAAATTGCGCGACGAGGGCAATTCATTGTTGAGGGAAAAACTCATCTCCATAACACTCCCTTTATTTTTATAAAGACTTCTATTGTGGGACGTAAAAGAGGCACTGTTCGCAAAGAGTAGGGCACGTAGTCTATCTCGATTTGTAGGTCTGGGTGGGTGAGGTGTGATCACAATGGACTGAAGCGGCTGCCAATCAATTGCGTGAGAACACAACAGTATTTATAGGTGACAGTATTACTAGGTGTTAGAGGATTTTAGTAAACGTCCATCAACCTATGGCAGCCAATCGTGTTGGGCTGCGTGTAACTTTTCTTTAATCTCTAATCTCTAACACAGATTCCAAATTATTACAATGAACAAACCAATCCTTTCAATTTAAGGACAGCTTAAAACAGAACACAAGATTCCTTAATATAAGCCGCCATAATGAAAGTTACAGTTAATTATTTACCAAGTTAAGAAAATGAGTGTCGAAGACCAATTGTACTAACCTCATAATAAAAATTAGATAAGTACGATAAAAAATTAGCACTGAACTTAAAAATAAGTGAACAATTTCTCGCGAAAGACTGACAAGGTGTTAGAGTCCCTTATGTTAGGAGGTAGTTCATTCAATGAGCGACAAAGTGAATTCTTAAAAGTTCCTGTCCAACTAAAAGGGACATTTTCTTGCCTACTAAGTAACTTACTATTATTTATTTACCACTTACAGAAACGACTTTCCTCCCTAAATTTCTTACCGTCATACTTCAGTTCCAGAATAACGAAAACAATATTAGTAAAATACAAATTGTAAAGAACAGTCTAGCTACATCAAAGTACGAATTTCTAACCGAGTAGCTGAATACAAGTTCCTAAGGGGTGTCAGTTGAGATGTCAGTTAACCCTTTTAATCCCTGAGAGTGACCAGCATCTAATTTCTCCTTTCAATGTCACCCATGAATCAAACATTAAGGTCATGAGAATAAAGGAAATGATAATCAACTAAAGAACCTCTTGATTGTTGAACAAATTCTCTTTGCCAGCACATTTGGAAATGTATAGAGAACATTAAGGAGAATGTGCATACTGATGTTAGGGTGTAAAGGGAGAAATGTGAATTCCATATGTAAGAAATCTAGCAGAACTAACCGAAAACGAAAGAAACTTATACGAAAATATTTCTAAAAAATCCGGGCACAAAACACGGGCCTGGCGAAAACAATTTTATGACCCGATAGGACAAGATTCGAATTTATCTGAACCGGTTTAAAACAGCTAACAAGCCAACATGTAATTGTGGTAATCTGGTTCAAATAATTGCCGCCCTTTCTTGATTTGGAGTAGCAGCGTCACACTCTGCAACTTAAGAGGACAGAAAGTTGATTTAAAATTTACACAGCAAAACATGCAGTCCGTTACTTTGCAAAGTTCTTATGACCATGGTGGTTTTACTTTAAACCACAAGACTAGAGAAAGAGGCAATTTTATTTTTCATGCCACTCTCCCTTAGTCCTTACACCTTACTCTTGCAACATCATTTTTTTTTTCACTGATTTCGGCTTTTGACTCGCACAACGGACTTCGTCGAAAACGAGAAACCGCTTGTAGACTACTATTGTCATTACAGAGTTTACGTCTGTACTAAGATACCAATGCAATTCCAGAGTACTTACGACATTGAATCTAAAATGCTTTATTTTACTCCAAATGCAACCGAATCTGGAATAAAGATGATAATAGTAATACAATGATATTTCAACGAACATACCTTCATTCTCTAAACTTTTTCAAAGCTTCCGTGCAGCGTGCCTCAAGAAGAACGTCACACAGTTTTTTGGTAGTAGCTTCCTCGCCGAAACGTTTTTTCCACTTCAGCAGACCTTGGAAAAAACTCTCCTCCACCCCATATTCCTTATGATTCATGCAAATATTTTCGATTTCTGGTTCCTTGAGACCCAGTTTTCGCAGGACATTCTTCCACTTAGAACCGATTTCCTCGCGTATGCAGTGGAAATGGTCTACTGTTACTGGTTGTCTGTCACTTCCCAGCAAGGATATATCGCAGCTGAAAGATTCTGTTTGATTGGCCAAGGAATCTGCTAAAAAAAACATTCGTCAGACAACATCATTGCTTTTATGTTAATCTCTTTCGTAAATGCGCCATTTATTCAACCACGTCGCGTCAATCCTGCCACGGGATTGCATTCCTCTCAATTTAACTCCAATACTTCAAAGTAATTTTCAGTTGAGCATCGAAGATAATCCGCTGTATTTCGCTCTGTGATTGTTCTGGAAAATTCGCGCCTCTTGCTCAACCAACTTTACTCTCGGCAATGATGGTAAACTGTGGTACTACGTGAATGGGGGGGGGGAGAGAGAGAGGGGGTATGGGGGCTATAAGAAGATAGTTTGGTTCTATCAACTGAGTTGTTATTGTAAATTGGCTGCCGTAAAGAGTTTCTAAAGCTGACGTTTCGAGCTTTAGCCCTTATGATAACCAACTGATGTCACTAACCCATTGAGGTTATCGTTTCTTGGCTTTCATTGGTTTCGTTCTCCTCTGATGGCATTGTGATAGAAACTGCACCCGCAAACTCACAACCGTTGGAAGATGTGCCACTCTCAGAATTTTGAACAAAAATCTTTCGACTTGTCTGTTGATTGAATAACACACAAAATAAATAAGAATAGCCTCAATGACATATTGACTCATAATTAAGTCCTAAACCATCCTACAATTGCTACGTACGCGACTCCCGTTCGATTACTGTAGGTTTACTTCACGAATGTTTAACAATATTCACTTATCCTACGGGAGATGTTTAGTTTAGTATAATTGTTCAGGTCACTATCAGAGGCAAAACGTAAATTTTATTCTATTTTTTCACCTCCAATTTGTCACTCATTTAAAAACGAAGGCATGGTGTTTGGTGCTTAAATCACTTGGTTAATCTGTAAAGTGCACTTGACAGAACTGAATGAAACGACATATTTATTTGTAATGGTCGTGTCAACGTTCGTTTGCTAGAAAGCGTTAAACAGGCTTTATATGTTTAACAATTAGCCAATTACGACCAGTTAAATCCGAAATGTTTAGCAATACTTCGATAACCTTCTGGTGCGGGGTGACTATAGCGAGATACAACGCACTCCTTAGCAATTATGCTGACATACCATAAGGGTGCGACTGTTTTGCGATTCATCAGATGTAAGCCTCGACTGATAGTCAAACGAGTGGGAAACGAATGGAGAACGAATTTTGTTGGTTTGTAGTAGCAATGATATACAAACACGGGAGAGGTAAAATGGTTTAAGACTAGGTAACTAATTTTACATGACTTGAGCGCAAATTAACGTTATAACAGGAACAGGAATGCTGAATTACTGCCACGCGAGTGTTTTACGACTTCTGTACAATAGTGTACTTCACCTGTCGCGGTGAATACCCCGGGTAAAGATAAATTGAATACTCTGTTGGGCTGTCTTCTTGATTAAATTTAAGGTTGCAGGAAAATTCTTTCACTCCTGGACGTGCTGGTCTAACTGCAAAATCACAGGCGTCTTTGGCACGGAATCCATTGCGATATGCGGTGTCGTAGTTGTATATCTACAAAGAAAGGTTAAAACGTATTACCTTGCGAGGAAACTACTTAACTTATGGAAAGAGAAGTGAACCATCCAAGTGTTTCTTTGTTATCATAAATTCTTTCTCACTCTCCAAGACCTTGGTCAACTCCGCGCATAACTTTATAACTGAGATCATGGGGAAACATTCCGAAGCAATTTTTGGTGAGAATGAGTTGACATGATACGAAACAAGACACGTTAACGTAGCATAAGGCATTTGTTGGGGGTGGGGGGAGGGGAAGGGAAAACGAGTTTAAAGAAAATCTAAGATGACGTCATGTAATATCTGCAGTGTCCAGCGGTTATACCATAAGATCTGTTAGAACTGCATGTTAAATCTGCTCAATACCTGTACACTGGGAGTCTTATCCAGTTCCCAACCGTCTTCAAGATCAGTGAGCTTCACGATCACATCCTTTTCGTCGTCGCACATCTTAAACGGTTTCTCCTTTGATGATCTCGAGTCGGGAAAAGACTCTTTCTCCTGTGCTTTCACTCGCTTGTTAAATAAGAATATAAATCGAAGCATAAAGAGCGCCACTTACGATATTGTAAAACAAATCAAAACTCAAATCTTCAATCCAAATATAATAACAGTGCAATAAGCAGTACAAAGTCGACCCGACCCAGACCTCCCTCCTTTACGCGACTCGACTCAAGCCTCCCTCGTTTTTTTACTCCTCCGCTAGTATCGCACCGTTTACAGCTACCATTTACCATTTCTCTCAGGTTTACTAGCTGAACGCCTGGAACAGGCTGGCAACAAAGAATCGTCTGAAAACACCCAGGCTCAAAAAATATGGCAGATGTAGGCCCCAGCTATTGAATTTAAAAGGGAAGGGGGAGGGGGAGGGGGAGGGAGGTGATCCGCACTCCTGCACCTCTTCCCTAAATCTTTCCTCTAAGCTTATTTGAGCTCATTATGCTATACTTGACCATTTTAGCTGACTACTCGTTTTGCGACTTACCTTCTTTGAATCCTCATTATCACTGTAAATGTAGAAGCGTAGGTAAATGTGATCACTTTTCGGGTTATGTCTGCTGAAGTAAACAGTCGCTCTCTTCCTCTTTGTTCCGCCACAGGCGAACACGCTCCAAATGGAAAATTTTCTAGTCTTGATGTGGATAGAGTTCTTTTTCACTGTAAACCATGCTTTGGATTGGCAGTTTTTTTCTGACGCTGAGGGAATTTTCTCCCATCGTAGCGGCCCTTTAACATAATTAATTTGACAGCGTCCTCAGGTGCCAGACATTATCTATGAGGGGGGGGAGGGGGGATTAACTGCCAGTGAAAGGGGGGGGGAGTCATACGAATATTACAGGGGCCTATGGGAGGATTAGGTAATTTGTATCTTGACACAACCAAAATTCCACTAGCCTACCCCCCCTCTCTACCTACCTAGATGATAAATAAGGACTCGTCTCTAAGTAACTGATGTAGCCACCATAAATACGAGAATATATACCTGTGGGTATACTTAAAACCCGGAAAAAAGCCTTCCTACCCCAAGCTCGAATAAACTGTTTACATTCTTGGGGTGATAAGATTGTGCGACAAATCAAGTCGGCCACAATGTCCATATTGTTTGGTCAGTTCAGCTCAAATTCAGCACTCTAATTGGTTCCGGGCTATATAACTCACCTGTACCACTCCCATCTGTGCGTAAAAGCGATTTTTTTTAAAAGTGCTTTTGCATAGCGATTTACAGTTACCTTTAGAAGATGGCTCACATCTGTAAACCCTTATCGAATCCTTCCTGACCTCGTCCAAGCACAGATCATGCGGAACAGTGATTTCCACCGGCTTGAGCAAGGTAACGTTGTGAGGTCCACATTCGACAACGGGGGAAATAAGTGTTCCTTCGGGCATATCCGGAATGTCCTGCAACAAAGTGGAGTCATCCTTGGGCACGCGGAAGAAAAAACGCTGCTTGGTGCCCTCTTGAACTGCTCCACTCCCTACAGTGATAACGACATCAGAGTCCGGTGCGAAAAGCTTTCCACCAGAGCTGTCGAACGTGGCCTCCGCTTCCGTTATGTATCCAGGGGACCTATAGAAAACAGGGTAGATTATCATAGAAAATATGATGGAAACTGTGATTTGGACGTCCCTAAATCGACCTCAGTGAAAAGACAACTTCGATAAAGAGAAAAATTTTAAATAATCTGAACTTACACAACTCGTTTTCCCACCCACCTTGTGTCAGATCCATCAGATTGAGAGATATGATGAACATCTGCGACCACAAGACTACTTTGAAAGGGAGGCAAAGTGTGCTGAGCTGGGTTGTTGAGATTTGGTAGAGAATCTCCTGTTTCATCCTCCTGAGTATGCTTTGATCTTGTGGGGCTTTCAGTCTATCAGTTAAATATGCAGTAAAAATCACTCTCTGAAATAGCAACAAAGTGTTCAAGGAAGGTCAATATTGTGGACGAACCCACCATTACTATACCTGTTCTGTGTAAGCTCCTGTAGCGCTTGATATAGAAGTCCTATTACAACAGTCCGACGATGCCACACAGCGTGGAGGGCGTATGCAGTTTGGACGAGGACAAGCGAGGCTACACCCTGTAAGTAACAAGACATTGCGGAAATTATTTGAATACCTTAATGGCTTAATGGCTGCATTTTTGGCGGAATATTGTTGAATAATCTTCGAGACGAAATCGAGGGCATTACTCAACAATTTTTTCTAAGCTTGAGGCAAATAACTGCTTACGTATAGTTGCTCAGGTGCTTTCATTCTGCTTTCCAACAAAAGGTTTAACAATATGTTTACGATGTTGTTAAGTAAGGGATGACCTTTCTGTACTTGAACACATTCGTACCTCTGCTGGATATCAAGCTCTACCGGATTTACCTTTCCATACTTGAACATATTCGTACTTCTACTGAATATTATGCTCTACTGGATATACCTTTCCATACTTGAACACATTCGCACTTCTACTGGATATCATGTTCTACTGCATATACCTTTCCATACTTGAATACATTCGTACTTCTACTGAATATTATGCTCTACTGCATATACCTTTCCATACTTGAATACATTCGTACTTCTACTGAATATTATGCTCTACTGGATATACCTTTCCATACTTGATCACATTCGTACTTCTACTGGATATCATGTTCTACTGGATATACCTTTCCGTACTTGATCACATTCGTACTTCTACTGGATATACCTTTCCATAATTGAACACATTCGTACTTCTACTGAATATGCTCTACGTCTTTAACATATCCCGGAGCACTAGAAAGGGCGCGAGTAGAAATCTCGGGAGTAAGGGGGTCCTGCATTGGTTTCTTAGAAACATTGGGAGGAATGCCAGGTCTTTGCTTTCATTATCATTAGAAATTATAAATTTACACTTTAAATTCGGATGTACTTTTATCTATTGCTCTCAAGTGCTCATGCGCACGTCAAAAGTGACGTACCCCATACCATGCTTACCAAATAACCTAATATAAATAAATTCTTCAGCTGCAAGACATCGAAACTCTTCACCTTTGTTTTTCTTTGGATGCCTCCATCGGTTGATTACCAAACCCGTCGCCAAAACAGCAACAGAAATCAAGGCCACTACTATCCACAGCCAGTGTCGAGAATGATGGGACACATCCTGGCTAGGTTCATGTTGGGACACATCCTGGCTAGGTTCATGATATGTTTCTTTGGCTTTATTTTCTTTCGTTAGAGGTTGGCTGTTCGATCCCAACGATTTCCCTGTGAAAGTATCAGTTCCCGTAAAAAATGGCTAATATATCAGAGATGTTTTAAATATCCCGTTAAAAATTACAGTGACACATGGTCGAGGTAGCGAACTGAACGTTAAGCGTCACTGTATGCAAAGAAAAGTGCGCAGAGGTTCTTAACACTTGCCGTTTTTTCTTATCTCAGTGTATCTGGTTTCCTAAAAAATTTATGAATTATTTTCCACCAGCTTTTCACTTCTCCCATGAACATCCAAAGAAACGTGAGATTCTGAAAATCAACAACCCCCCTCCCCACCCCTCCATCTCAGTGCCTCCCTCGCGGACCCAAGACCACCCTACCACCCTGGGGCGGATCCAGAAACTATTGTCAGGGGGAATCCAAACTTTGATTCAGGAAACACAATATAATTTTTCTTACTCGCAATAGGGTCCAACAGACAAAATAGGGAGAGAAAACTCTTTTGGATCATTTGATTTGATCTTTTAGGTCATTTTTTAATTATTCTTTATGCTGAATAGTAACATGCAATCCTGCCGTTGCAAGAATTTTGTTGTCGTACAAGTAGTAAAAATACTCAAACAGATCTGATAGAGAGGAGATCGTGATCCCCGGACCCTCCCCCTGGATATGTCAGGGGAGTAAAGGGAGCTAAGGTTGTGTTGCCAAGGGTGGTCACATTAGCTGGCTACTGACACGCAAAATTGAGGAAGAGAGAGTCAGTTAAGCCTTACATCGCCTCCACCTGGTGGTATGATTCTGATAGGATTCTGTGCTGTTTTCGTCATCCATTCCATGATTGATGAACATGGCCTTGACGCTCTCAGAAGGTGAAAAAGGCGATGCTACACGCGTTGTCGTTGCATCTGTTCTTTTTGGACGAATTTTTTGTAGTGTACGACTTGGATAGTTCTGATCATCTCCCTGCATTTCAAAATTTGTCGGTGTTTTAAAGGAGGAAACGGATTTTTCTGTCGGGCGGGATGGAGGTGGACGTTTGGAAGGAATATCCGGTCGGGGTGTAGGGCTGATGATTTCTCCCGCGGGAGAAGTGATTGATTTCTCGACGCTCCGTGATGACGATGGTGAGCCATAAAAAGCAGAACTAACCAAAACTGTTCCTTGGTCTACTGCACTACTGGGCTTCGTAGAGAAGAAAACATTTGAAGGCGTTGGATCAACAGAAGGCATTACAGATACAAAGATGTTAGCGTTGACATGTTTCTCAACAAATGCAAGTTGGTGCTGAGACTTTGGGTTCTTTCTGCCATTTTCCCAAGGATTAACCTCCTCTCTTAGAACAAAGAATCGGTCCTCAGGCTTTTTTTTCTCCTTGATATTTTCGCGAACAGAATCGACTGCAAAATGAAAAATGAAAAGCACGATGAAACACAATTGGTGTGGTGTAACAACACAATTAGCGTGGGGTAACATGTCTCACTTTGCGTCACTCAAACTTCTCATTGTCTGAAATTCAAATACCTAAGAAGTATCAGAGCGCTTTGCAACCGAAAAAAAACATTTCAGTCTTCCAAATGTTCACGAGTGTCTGAAGAATCATGGAATCATTTTCCCTTCTTGAGGCTCCGTAGTATATTGTGATTCTTCCGTCAACTTTCCATAGTCCCCCCCCCCTCCTTTTTGCTCTGCTGTGCGTCGACCAATACCCCCTCCATTTCCCCTAAAAACCATGTGATCCCCCCAAAAGAGTTCTCCCTCCCCGAAACCACTGAAATTATAGTTGGAGTAAACTGGAATTTGTCACAGGTAGTTTTAACCCTTAAACTCCATGAGTGATCAAGACAGAATTTCTCCTTACAATATCAATACAATAACAACCAGATAAGTGAAGAGAATAATGAAAACTATCAATTTGGGGATAATTAGTTGATCCAATACTAAATTCTCTCAACGTAAATTACGAAAATTGCATTGTTGACACTAAGGAGAATTACAAATTTGATCTGGCAGTTAAAGGTTTAAATAACGACGATTCCCAATAATCAATACCCCTGGGGGCACCTCCCGTAGGCATACACAACATAACGGCCCTGTGGTCAACCCCGCTCGTTACATCACACAACAGGCTGAAGAGGGCACTTATTCTGGGTCTTTTGTGCACCGTTAATGGAACACTTGATTGCAGAAAAAGGAAAAGTCGTTTTTATTTTGGAAAGAACTCAACTATTACCTTTAATTCCGCATTCAACTTTACCATAACTGCTGAGGAAGCTCTCAGAAATTGGACACTTGACACAATCAGTGTCTCTCGTCTTTTCACAAGGCCTGAACACGCCGAAGCCTGGAGGACATTGGCTGCATTTCACACAAACAGTATTCGACGTTGAATTACAGGGATGGAACTCGTATTCATTGTGACCACATCTGGTGCAGCGCTTGCATGTTCCTCGGCGAGAAGGCTTATCGTTGTATGTTCCTTCCGCGCACTTTACACATCGTGACTCTTCATTTAGAGAGCAGAATGTAAAAGATCCTGCAGGGCATTTCTTGCAGGATGGACCGGACAACTTGAGATAACTACCGCTGAGCGACTGTAAGAAGACAGAAGGGGAACAACAACAAAGAAATCAGTTTTTTTAAGATTAAACTGTCTTTTCCCGAAAAAAACAGGAACGAAAAGCCCTAAATGGGGAAGGGAGAGGGGAGAGGGAGATGAAGAGGGAATGGAGGGGGGAAGGTGGAGAGCTTCTTGTTTACGCCTGCTTAGCTGGCTTCAAAGATCATGAAAGAAAACTTCTGTTTTGAATTCAGTTGGTTATTTGGATTTTTTTATCGATTCTTATTCATTAAAAAGTTATTTCTAAAACTTCGAACAATAGCACTCAGGAGGTACGATCCTGAGCAAATTGTTACACTAAGTAATAACAGCTTTTTGGTAAGATAAAAATAGTTTAATTTTGAATTAATTTTATTTTTTAGCTTAAGTAAATGACATTTTTTACCAGAGGTCTCAAGTATTGAACGTCTAGTCAAAACAACATTACACGTAATCGGCAACAATATCGTGATATTTGCCCTTCCGTTTTCCTCTGGTATCGAAGATTTCGCTTTCAATTTGGTTTCTAGCTTTGATGGTATGTTTGGTTGATAACTGTTTTTATCTTGCGATTACTACAGTATTCATGCTTTCGACTTCATGGAATACACGTTTGCTTAAAGATGGCGAAGATCATATTTGGTGGTAATCGTCACTAACTCGTGATGCTGATTACAAACACAGGAAGCTTTTATGTAACAACGACCCTTCCACTTTCGGTTTCTATTTTTAAAGAGAACAAAGTGCCTATTCATCTCTCTGAATGAAAATTTTATTCTTGCGGGCAAATGCAAAACTCCAAAACGCCATTGAAAATGAGTCAATTTAGGAAGCAACTGTTTAAGTTTTGGACACAGCAACAGCAATCAGTTATACTGATCCAGCGTAAACAGTTTGCACTGACACGAAATATCTACACATCGCGTGACCTGGCGGCACACCGCTGTAGTTTTTCTCAATCGCAAGTCTCCATGAAACAGCTCATTTCTTGTCAATTTCGTTAACCACTGTGGTCATTTTCACACGTACTAAACAGGCAAAATATAAATCCTGTTGACGTGACAGCGAGGACTCCATTTCAACATTAAGCTTGTCGGAACCAATCGATTGTACATACAAAGCATGTAAATTACTTCCTTTGATTTTCATACTGACTGAAAAATTGAGTTTGTTTGTGGTCGAATCAGTTTCCTAATCCAAACGAAATAATTGGAGCTTGTGGACAATTAAGTTTACAATAACGGATCACATATCGAGAATAGTTATAGCGATTCTGCCGTTGAAAGCGCCCGTTAGAAAAATAAATCATGCAAGTCATGACAAGACTAGTGTCACAAACGGTCCTAATATAGACATCAAACAACATTTACAATACAGAAATGTTAGGGGTACTTACACTGCCTGTGTTGATTCCTATAAATATGAAAGCGAAAAAAAGAACCTCGTACTCCATTGTACAGACTGTACGACGAGTAATGTGTCTTTACAAATCAGGAAATTTGACCCCCTTTATCTTTTAAAAAAATTCAGGTGTTGCGTAACTTTAGTACCCTTTTTTTAGTTAAACAAACACTTCTCAAATTTAATGCCAGTATATTCGAGATTTTTTCCCTAAATGTGACGAATTTATTCAAGGGGTGGGGTAAGGGGAAGTTAAATGGAAGAGGAGGAAAGCTTGATCTATTTTGATCGAGGATGAGCAACCAATAATCAACGATGAGATGAGGATGAGTAAAATTCTAACAGATGATTTCGGAGTAGGAAAGACGGTTCACCATTCATTTTCAAGGGGGGAAGGGGAAAGGAAGGGGTTGACCTGTAGAACTACTCATGCGCAATGCGCAAGAATAATAAAAGAAGAAAGTCAAGCTGGTCAAAACGCAAAAGAAAGAGATTTTCAACAACGGTGCGAAGAAATAAAAGTGTAAATGAATATTGCGCCCAGAAAATTGCCCCAGCCTCCTCTCCCCCATTTTCTAGGCGGGGTACGTAAAGGAAATTATGGGATGACAATCATTGATGGAAGTAAAATTTAAGTACTTTATTTTTTTATGAAGTCTAATCTTGGTTTGTCTCCAGTTGCAACCAATATTTAGAGGACTAAATTTTATGAAGTACCACCGAGTACCACCAAGTAACACCTCTATCAGTCTAAAGGAGTGAGAGCGCATTTGTGAAAAGACCGAATGTGATAATGGCTGGGAAGGAAACCGCAGAAAGCGCTGAAATAATAAACTGAAGAGAGTCTTTTTGGGGGGATCTAAAAAATCTCCATAGATAGAAAGCAGCTTGGTCCCAGAGGCATAGCAATGAAGGATAATTTAAAAATTTAAAAATATAAGCAGAAAGCGGAAGTGATAAATATTGGCATACAATTAGGTGTACAGAACGCTGATCAACCGCATTACATTCCTTATCCTTATCTGTCAATTCCCTTAGTTTTTTCGGGTTGGATTCAGTCTTTAGAGGCGTCTAAAGTCTATTTTATGATTGCTGTAATATTAAGTATCGAGCATCCACCAGGGGGTGCTACGGGATTATTCATACTCCATACGTCTAATCCATACGCTACCCCCCCCCCCCCTTCTAGGAGAAATGGCCGCCGGAAGAAGCTTCCTGCTGAGCGCAACTTTAATACTTCTCACAAATTTACGATTCCATTAGTTATCATTATTCCTAAAAACATGGGCCAACGTCGGAAAAAGTTGCTGCACGCAAACGAAGTAAAAGAATGTTAACTGAGAGCAGTTTTCCCTCGCATTTCATCCGTGACAGCTTCTCCTATGTCCTAAGTACTTCCATATATGGCTGATCCAAACATTACAAAGACACCATCACTAAAAGGATTTTTGGGACCAGTTGAGCAACTTTCGTTTCAGGAAGGCATTGAGTGTCCAACTCAACGCCTTAATTGAAAAATGAGTGTCATTTAAGAATGATTTTGACATTAATCAGATTATTATTTTTATTCATAATTTTGTTTCTGTGGATTACATAAAAAAAAAATCTGTATTAATTGCTACCACTGATATTTTACATGATAAAAAGTTAACTTTCTTCATATTGATACCTAATTTTGATAAAAAGTGTTTGTTTTAATTACTTGATGGAATAGTTTGATTGCTGAAAAGTCTGATTCGCAAAATTTTTGCTGCACATGCAAAGTTTTGGATTTAAAAACATATCCCAACTGTATCCGAGGACAATCACAGTTGAGTGTATTAAAGCACAATGGCAACTAAAAAAATATGTTTTGTCTTTGAATGCTGGTTATCATGAAGAATTGGATTAATGGGAATGGTAATTTAGCAGTCCACATTCTCCAGGTTGGCTCTTTCTGTCCATTATTTCCAGGTCTAATTGGAATTTGTAATGTTGAATTACAGAAGACATTGAGACATAATTTCTATTTCTGATTTAGTCCATGAAATCAAAATACTGCCATATCACAACATAGTTAACTTCAGTCTCACTCCAAGTCAAAGGTTTGGCAACTAAGTACACAACTGTAAAACGGCCTAATATGGAATTTTCATACACTTGTTCAAAGAATTGCCGCCCTTCCTTGAACTGGAGTAGCAGCTTCACACTCTGCAACTTAAGAGGACAGAAAGTTGATTTAAAATTTACACAGCAAAACATGCAGTCCGTTGCTTTGCAAAGTTCATATGACCATGGTGGTATTACTTTAAACCACAGGACTAGAGAAAGAGGCAATTTTATTTTTCATGCCACTCTCCCTTAGTCCTTACACCTTACTCTTGCAACATCATTTTTTTTTCCACTTATTTCGGCTTTCGACTCGCTCAACGGACTTCACCGAAAAGGAGGAACAGCTCGTTGTCTACTGTTGTCATTACAGAGTTTAAGAAACGACGACTGCGACGCCGTGGACAACGAGAAGAAATTTACAAAGATTTATAACGCACGTGCACAGCCATTATTCTACTCACGAAACCTTTTTTTTAGTGACGTTCTCGTTGCCGTTGCCGTCGTGGTTTTCTTAAACTCCCTATTAATTGTCGTAAAGCCAAAAGCAAAGCAGTCTCCACGGCCAGTCAACAATGAAAATTATTGGCGTGACGAAGGAGAAAAGTTCCAGCTTACACGCGAGTCCTTCCACATCTTACCGCCGTGGTTGGAGGGAAATAATGGCAGAAATCAGCTGACTAAGAAAGTTAAAAATCCGAGGATAAATGTAGTATTCCCTTCAATTCAAGTGACGCGACTGGCTTCAAACACAGGAAAACACGAGTAATAAAGTCGCCACCAATAGTTTTGAACATATAATTAGTTGGAATAATAGATGGTGCAGGTTGCTAGACCAATCAAGGAACGACGTAATGTACGGTACTGAAATACCAATGCAATTCCAGAGTACTTACGACAGTCAATTAAAAAATTCTTGATTTTATTTCAGATGCAACCGAATCTGGAATAAAGATGATAATAGTAATACAATGACATTTTTATTTAGAGACCATACCTTAATTCTCTTAACTTTTTCAAAGCTTCCGTGCAGCGTGCCTCACGAAGAACGTCACACAGTTTTTCGGTAGTAGCTTCCTCGCCGAAACGTTTTTTCCACTTCAGCAGACCTTGGAAAAAACTCTCCTACACCCCATATTCCTTATGATTCACGCAAATATTTTCGATTTCCGACTCCTTGAGACCCAGTTTTCGCAGGACATTCTTCCATTTAGCACCGATTTCCTCGCGTATGCAGTGGAAATGGTCTTCTGTTACTGGTTGTCTGTCACTGCCCAGCGAGGATATATCGCAGCTGAAAGATTCTGTTTGATTGGCCGAGGAATCTGCCAAAAAATAGAAATTATTTTTCAGACAATATCATCGCTTTTACCATAATCTTTTCCGTAAATGCGCTGACAAGCTTTCTCCATTTATTCATCCAAGTCGCGTCAATCCTACCACGGGACTGTATTCCTCTCAATTGAGCTCCAATATTCTAAAGTAATTTTCACTTCAGCATGGAAGGTAATCTGTAGTTGCTTTTGTTTTGCTGCATTTCGTCCTGTGATTGTTCAAGAAAATTCGCGCCTCTCTCAACCAATTAGATGCAAGACTTGAATCGATTGCGACGTGTTCGCTCCTGCTTTCCCGCGCTTTAGGCAGTTTGTTGGTTTTTAATTTGAATTCTCATTGACTCCTTGTGATATTGACCCGAGAACTGACTGCTGGTAAATAATACTTTGGTTTTGGTTTTCCGTTACAAACATCAGAATTCGCTCTCACTGTTTTAGTTAGGTTCTTGTTAGAGATGATCGAGCGAAGAGATTGAATCTCGCTTCCAGACTTTATTCTCGGCAAGGGTAATCGCTATCAAATTGTTCTTAAATCACTCAGGTTCCGGTTTTCGTAGATCCCAGGAATATCTAGAAGCACCTAATCCTGTGTCGTGAATCTTGTTAAAAAATGATTCTCAAAACATATAGAAACACGAGAGAAGCATTTAGAGTCCTTCCATGAGGACCATTTCGGCTTAAACTGAATAGCATATCTTGGTTCCATCAACTGAGTTGAACTTGTAAATTGGCTGCCGTAAACAGTTCCTGAAGCTGACGTTTCGAGCTTTAGCCCCTAGTCAGAGCGAATGACGAAGGGCTAACGCTCGAAACGTCAGCTTAAGAAACTCCTTACAGCGGCAAATTTGCATTATCAACTCAGTTGATAAAACCAAATTATCTTGTTATACCGATTGTTTTTTAGTCACGCATCTGATTGGCTGGGAAAGTGGCTTGAACTGTCTAAGCCAATCAAGGAGCCCAATTAAGGAAAACCAATGTAATCCCGCATTACTTTTGACACTCAATTAAAAATTGCGCTATTATGATAACCAATCGATGTCACCAACCCATTGAAGTTATCGTTTCTTGGCTTCCATTGATTTCGTTTTTCTCTGGTGGCATTGTGATAGAAACTGCGCCCGCAACCTTACGACAGTTGGAAAAAGTGCCACTCTCAGAATTTTGGACAAAAATATTTCGACCAGTCTGCGGATTGAATAACAAACAAAATTTTAAAAAAAACAGCCTCGAAGACATATTGACGCTACGTACACGACCCCGGTTCAATTACTGTAGGTTTGCTTCACGAATATTCAACAATATTCACTTATCCTATGGGAGAAAATTTGTTAAGTATAATTGTTCGGGTGACTATCAGGGGTTAAACGTAGATTTTATTCTATTTCTTCACCTCCAGTTTGTCACGCATTAAAAACTAAGGCACAGAGTTTGGTGCTTAGAACCCGTGGTTAAAACGGTATAGTGCACATGACAGTAGCAAAACTGAACGAAACGAGATATTAATTTGTAGCGGTCGTGTCAACGTTCGTTTGCTAGAAAGTGTTAAACAGGCTTAATATGTCTCACAATAAGCCAATTACGACCAGTTAAATCCGAAAAGTTTAGCGTTATTTCGATAACCTTCTGGCGCGGGGTGACTACAGAGAGATATAACGCACTCCTTAGCAATTATACTGACATACCATAGGGATGCGACTGTTTTGCGATTCATCACATGTGGGCCTCGACTGATAGTTTAACGAATGGAGAACGAATTTTGTTCGACTGTGGTAGCAATGATATACAAACACAGGAAGAGTAAAATGGTTTACGACTGGGCAACTAATTTTACACGACTTGGGCACAAATTAACGTAATTACAGGCGCACGAATGCTCAATTACTGCCACACGAAAGTTTTATGACTTCTGTAAGATAGTGTACTTCACCTGTCGCGGTGAATACCCCGGGTAAAGATAAATTGAATACTCTGTTGGGCTGTCTTCTTGATTAAATTTAAGGTTGCAGGAAAATTCTTTCACTCCTGGACGTGCCGGTCTAACTGCAAAATCACAGGCATCTTTGGCACGGAATCCATTGCGATATGCAGTGTCGTAGTTGTATTTCTACAAAGAAAGGTTAAAACGTATTACCTTGCATGGAAACTACTCAATTTATGGAAAATGAAATGAACCATCCAAGTGTTTCTTTGATATCATAAATTCTTTCTCACTCTCCAAGACCTTGGTCAACTCCGCACATAACTTTATAACTGAGGTCATGGGAAAACATTCCGAAGCAATTTTTGGTAAGAATGAGTTGTCATGATACGAAACATGACACGCTAAAGAAGCATTAGGCATTTGTTGGGGGGTAGAGGGGGGGAAAGGGAAAACGAATTTAAAGAAAATCCAAGATGACGTCATGCAATAATTTGCAGTGTCCAGCGGTCATACCACAAGATCTGTTGGAATTGCATGTTAAATCTGCTCAATACCTGTTCACTGGGAGTCTTATCCAGTTCCCAACCGTCTTCAAGATCAGTGAGCTTCACAATCACATCCTTTTCATCGTCGTACATCTTAAACGGTTTCTCCTTTGATGATCTCGAGCCAGGAAAAGACTCTTTCTCCTGCGCTTTCACTCGCTTGTTAAATAGGGATGTAAACCAAAGCATAAAGAGCGTCACTTAGGATGTTTTAAAATAAATCTCAACAAAAATCTAAATCCAAATTTAACAGTGGAACAAGTTGTACAGAGTCGACTCGACCCAGACCTCCCTCCTTTTCGCGACTCGACCCAAGCCTCCCTCGTTTTTCACTCCTTCGCTATTATCGCACCGTTTACAGCTACTATTTACCATTTCTCTCAGGTTTACTAACTGAACGCCTGGAACAGGCTAGCAACAAAGAATCGTCTGAAAACACCCAGGCTCAAAAAATATGGTAGATGTAGGCCCCAGGTATTGAGTTTTTAAGGGGGGAAGGGAAGGGAGGTAGTTCGCACTCCTGCACCTCTTCCCTAAATCCGTCCTCTGAGCTTATTTGAGCTCATTATGCTATACTTGACCATTTTAGCTGACTACTCGTTTTGCGACTTACCTTCTTTGAATCCTCATTATCACTGTAAATGTAGAAGCGTAGGTAAATGTGATCACTTCTCGGGTTATGTCTGCTGAAGTAAACAGTCGCTCTCTTCCTCTTTGTTCCGCCACAGGCGAACACGCTCCAAATGGAAAATTTTCTAGTCTTGATGTGGATAGAGTTCTTTTTCACTGTAAACCATGCTTTGGATTGGCAGTTTTTTTCTGACGCTGAGGGAATTTTCTCCCATTGTGGCGGCCCTTTAACATAATTAATTTGACAGCGTCCTCAGGTACCAGACATTATCTATGGGGGGGGGAGGGGGGATTAGTTGCCAGTGAAAGGGGGGGGGAATCATACGAATATTATAGGGGCCTATGGGAGGATTAGGTAATTTGTATCTTGACACAACCAAAATTCCTACCCCCCTTCCCTACCTACCTAGATGATAAATAAGGACTCGTCTCTATGTAACTGATGTAGCCACCATAAATGCGAGAATATATACATATGGATATGCTTAAAACCTGGAAAAATGCCTTCCTAAGCTATTTCTAGGATCGTTGTAACCTTTGGTCAAGTCAGTATAAACAGCCACTGATTGTCTGAAAATGATCTTAAAACCGGATCATTGTGTCTGTTAAAACCTTACAAAAACATCACTAAAATTAAAAGAGTGTTCCGGTACCCCAAGCTCGAATAAACTGTTTACATTCTTGGGGTGATGAGATTGTGCGACAAATCAAGTCGGCCATAATGTCCTTATTGTTTGGTCGGTTCAGCCCAAATTCAGCACTCTAATTGGTTCCGGGTTATATAACCCTCCTGTACCACTTCCATTTGTGCGTAAAAGCGATTTTTTTAAAAGTGCTTTTGCATAGCGATTTACAGTTACCTTTTGAAGATGGCTCACATCTGTAAACCCTTATCGAATCCTTCCTGACCTCGTCCAAGCACAGATCATGCGGAACAGTGATTTCCACCGGCTTGAGCAAGGTAACGCCGTGAGGTCCACATTCGATAACGGGGGAAATTAGTGTTCCTTCGGGCATATCCGGGATGTCCTGCAACAAAGTGGAGTCATCCTTGGGCACGCGGAAGAAAAAACGCTGCTTGGTGCCCTCTTGAACTGCTCCACTCCCTACAGTGATAACGACATCAGAGTCCGGTGCGAAAAGCTGTCCACCAGAGCTGTCGAACGTGGCCTCCGCTTCCGTTATGTATCCAGGGGACCTATAGAAAACAGGGTCGATTATCATAGAAAATATGAGGGAAACTGTGATTTGGACGTCCCGTTATGAGGAGAAAATGTGACTAAATCGACCTCAGTGGTAAGACAACTTAGATAAAGAAAAAATAAGCTTACACAACTCGTTTCCCCACTAACCCTGTGCCAGTTCCATCAAATTGAGAGGTATGATGAACATCTGCGACCACAAGATTACTTTGAAAGGTAGGCAAAGTGTCCTGAGCTGGGTTGTTGAGATTTGGTAGAGAATCTTCTGTTTCATCCTCCTGACTATACTTTGATCTTGTGGGGCTTTCCGTCTATCAGTTAAATAAGCAGTAAAAATCACTCTCTGAAATGGCAACAAAGTGTTCAAGGAAGGTCAATATTGTGGACGAACCCACCATTACTATACCTGTTCTGTGTAAGCTCCTGTAGCGCTTGATATAGAAGCCCCATCACAACAGTCCGACGATGCCACACAGCGTGGAGGGCGTATGCAGTTTGGACGAGGACAAGCGAAGCTACTCCCTGTAAGTAACAAGACATTGCGATAATTATTTGAATACCTTAATAGCCGCATTTTTGGCGGAATATTCTAAAATAATCTTCAAGACGCAGACGAGAGCATTATTCAACAATATTTTTTAGCTTCAGGCAAATGGCTGTTTGAGTGTAATTCCTCAGGTGCTTTTGAATTCTGTTGTAAATTCTTTCTGCTGTGCAACAAAAGGTTTAACAATATATTTACGATGTTCTTAAGTAAAGGATGACCTCTCCATACTTGAACACATCCTATCTCTACTGGATATCATGCTCTACTGGATATACCTTTCCATACTTGAACACATTCGTACATCTACTGGATATCATGCTCTACTGGATATACCTTTCCATACTTGAACACATTCGTACTTCTACTGAATATCATGTTCCACTGGATATACCTTTTCATACTTGAACACATTCGAACTTCTACTGAATATTATGTTCCACTGGATATACCTTTCCATACTTGAACACATTCGCACTTCTACTGAATATTATGCTCCACTAAATATACCTTTCCATACTTGAACACATTCGCTTTTCTACTGGATATTACGCTCTACCGGATATACCTTTCCATACTTCAACACATTCGCTTTTCTACTGGATATTACGCTCTACCGGATATACCTTTCCATACTTCAACACATTCGCTTTTCTACTGGATATTACGCTCTACCGGATATACCTTTCCATACTTCAACACATTCGTACTTCTACTGGATATCATGCTCTACTGGATATACCTTTCCATACTTGAACACATTCGTACATCTACTGGATATCATGCTCTACTGGATATCATGCTCTACTGGATATACCTTTCCATACATGAACACATTCGTACTTCTACTGGATATCATGCTCTACTGGATATACCTTTCCATACTTGAACACATTCGTACTTCTACTGGATATCATGCTCTACTGGATATACCTTTCCATACTTGAACACATTCGTACATCTACTGGATATCATGCTCTACTGGATATACCTTTCCATACTTGAACACATTCGTACTTCTACTGGATATCATGTTCTACTGGATATACCTTTCCATACTTGAACACATTCGTACTTCTACTGGATATCATTTTCTACTGGATATACCTTGCCATACTTGAATACATTCGCACAGAAATACCTAGATATACCTATAAAGGGCGTGAGTAGAGGTCTCGGGGGTAAAGGGGGTCTTAGGGGGTCCTGCATTACTTTCTTAGAATCATTGGGGGGCATGCCAGGTTTCTGTTATCGTTATCATTAAAAATTATAAATTTAAACTTTGGATTCGGTGTCTTTTTATCCATTGCACTCAAGTGCTCATGCGCACGTCAAAAGTGACGTACCCCATACCATGCTCACCAAATAACCTAACATAACTAAATCCCTCAGCTGCAAGACAGGATCAATATCAGTATCTGGGCAACTGCCCACCTACCTCTCCCCTACGTCGGGTTAGGGGAGGGGTAGGTGGGCAGTTGCCCAGATACTGATATTGATCCGCAAGATATCCAAATCATTTACCTTTGGTTTTCTTCTGATGCCTCCATCGCTTGATTATTAAAATCATCGCCAAAGCAGCAACGGAAACCAATATCACTACTATCACTAGCCAGTTTTGAGAATGTTGGAACACACCCTGGTCAGATTCATGGTACGGGGCTCTGACCTCATTTTCCTCTGTTGGAGGAGGGAAGTCAACTTCTATATGTCCGTTGTCACTGGTGACCATTAATGTCGCTTTGTTAATATCAGTTCCTGTAAAAAAATTATCGAAAGGGACCGACAAAAATAGATGATATATCAGAGATATTTTGAATATCCCGTTTAGAATTACACAGACACATGGTCGAAGTAGCAACCTGAGTGTTAAGCGTCACTGTCAGCGCAAAAAAGCTCGCAGAAGTTCTTAACACTAGTTGTTGTCATCTGGTTTCCTAAAAAATTAACGGATTATTGTCCACCGGCTTTTCACTTCTCCTTTGAACATCTAAAGAAATGTGAGATGAACTTCTTTGTGAAGTTCAAATGAATTTCTGAAAATCAACAACTCCCAATAGGGTCCAACAAACTAAATAAGGAAAGAAAACTCTTCTGGCCACCTTTGTGCCTCCCTCGCAGACTCAGGAGACAACGCACCCAACCACCCTGGAGCGGATGCAGAAATTAATGTTGGGGGGATCCAAACTTTGATTAAGAAAAGACAAGGTTGTGTTGCCAAGAGTAGTCACATTAGCTGGCTAATGACGCGGGACAAAACTGAGGAGGACAAAGTCAGTTAAGCCTTACCAAGACTCCACCTGGTATTGCGATGTCGATAGGATTCTGTGCTAAGTTCTTCATCCATTCTATGGTTGATGTACATGGCTTTGACGCTCTTAGAAGGTGAAACAGGTGATGCTACACGCGTTGTCGTTGCATCTGTTCCGTTTTGACGGGTGTTTCGCGGTGTACGACTCGGATAGCTCCCATCATCTCCTTGAATTTCAAAATTTGTCGGTGTTTTAAAGTAGGAAACGGATTTTTCTGTCGGGCGAGATGGAGGTCGACGTTTTGAAGGAATATCCGGTCGGAGTGTAGGGTCGATGATTTCTCCCGCGGGAAAAGTAATGGATTTCTCGACGCTCCGTGATGACGATGGTGAGCTATAAAAAGCAGAACTAACCAAAATTGTTCCTTGGTCTACAGCACTAGTGGGCTTCGTAGAGAAGAAAACACTTGAAGGCGTTGGATTAACAGAAGGTAACGCAGATACAATGATGTTAGCGTTGACATGTTTTTCGACGAATGCAAGTCGATGCTGAGACTTGGGGTTCTTCCTGCCATTTTCCCAGGGATTAACCTCCTCTCTTAGAACAAAGAAACTATCCTTGAGCTTTTCTTTCTCCCTGATATTGTTGCGAAAAGAATCAACTGCAAAACAGAAAAATGAAACGCATGATAAGACACAACTGGCGTGTAACATATCTCAGTTGCCATCACTTAAACTTCTCATGTCAAACATTCAAATACCTAAGAAGTATCAGAGCACTTTGCAACCGAAAAAAATCTTCTAGTTTTCGAAATTTTCACGAGTGTCTGAAGAATCATGGAACAAAGATTTCTTTTGCCGATTCCTTTTTTCACAACACAACCGTGTCTTGATATGGGACCAGTCATTTTTTATTCAGAGGGAGGGGGGGTTTGGAAGATTCTGGTTGTGTCACTATAAAATTTACCTTTTCCCTTCTTAAGGCTCCGTAATATTTTTGTGATTCCTCCCTCAACTTTCCATAGCCCCCCCCCCTTTATGCTCCGCTGTGCGACAACCAATACCCCCTTCATTTCCCCTAAAAACCATGTGATCCCCCCCAAGAGAGTTCTCCCTCCCTGGCGTTAACCCTTTAACTCCCATGAGTGATCAAGATAGAATTTCTCCTTACAAGATCAATACAATATCAATCAGATAAGTGATGAGAGTAAAGAAAAACATCAATTTGGGGATCCAATGCTAAATTCTCTGAACTAACATTAATAAGAATTTTATGGTTGACAGTAAGGAGAATTACAAATTTGATCTGGGAGTTAAAGGGTTAATTAACAACTGGTCCCAATAATCAATTCCATTCTGGTTGGCACCTTCCGTAGGCATACACAACATAACGGCCCTTGGGTCAACCCCCGCTCGTAACATCTCACAACAGAAAACACCTTTCAGGCTGAAGAGGGCACTTATTTTAGGTCTTTTTTGCACCGTTTATGGAACGTTTGATTGCAGGAAAAGGAAAAGTCGTTCTGACTTTGGAAAGAAATTCAACTATTACCTTTAATTCCGCATTCAACTTTACCATAACTGCTGAGGAAGCTCTCGGGAACTGGACACTTAACACAATCAGTGTCTCTAGTCTTTTCACAAGGCCTGAACACACCGAAGCCTGGAGGACATTCCCTGCATTTTACACAAACGGTATTCGACGTTGAATTACAGGGATGGGACTTGTATTCATTGTGACCACATCTGGTGCAGCGCTTGCATGTTCCTCGGCGAGAAGGCTTATCGTTGTACGTTCCTTCCGCGCACTTTACACATCGTGACTCTTCATTTAGAGAGCAGACTGTAAAAGATCCTGCAGGGCATTTCTTGCAGGATGGACTGGACAACTTGGGATAACTACCGCTAAGCGACTGTAAGAAGACAGAAGGGGAACAACAACAAAGAAATCAGTTTGGATTACACTTTGTTTACCGGAAAAAAAAGGAACAAAAAGCACAAAATGGGGGAGTGGGAGGAGAGGGGGGGAGAAAGATGAAGAGGGAGGGGAGGGGAGAGGGGGAGGCTCCTTTTCTACGTGTCTATGTTTACGCCAGCTTAGCTAGCTTCTAAGATCAAGAAAAAGCAAACATCAGTTTTGAATTCAGTTGGTAGTTTGGATTGTTTTATCGATTCTTATTCATTAAAAAGTGACTTTTAAAACTTCGAACAATAGCACTCAGGAGGTACGATCCTAAGCAAATTCTTATACTAAGTAATAACAGCTTTGCGGTGAGATAAAAACAGTTTAATTTGAAGAAATTTTATTTTACCTTGAGCAAATAACATTTTGTACCAGAGGTCTCAAGTATCGAGCGTCTAGTCAAAACAACATTACATTTGCCGGCAACAATATTGTGATATTTGCCCTTACGTTTTCCTCTGGTATCAAATATTTCGCTTTCAATTAGTCTTCTAGCTTTGATGGTATGTTTGGTTGATAACTATTTTTATCTTGCGATTACTACAGTATTCATGCTTTCGACTTCATGGAATACACGTTTGCTTACAGATAGCGAAGATCATCTTTGGTGGTAATCGTCACTAACTCGTGATGACGATTACAAACAAAGGAAGCTTTTGCGTAACAACGACCCTTCCGCTTTCGGTTTCGAAGTGGACAAAGTGCCTATTCATCTCTCAGAATGAAAATTTAATTCTTGTGGACAAAGGCAAAATCCAAAACGCCTTTGAAAATGTGCCAACTAAGGAAACAACTGTTTCAGTATTGCACACAGAGACAGCAATCAGTTCAGCGAGATTATTTTTTATCGATTTCGTTAAACGCTGTGAAGAAATAAACTCACTGAAATGATTGCTGTTGCTGTGTACAATACTGAAACAGTTGTACCCTTAATTACCACATTTTCAAAGGCGTGCCAAACCGGCAAAATCTAAGTCCAATTGACATGACAACGAAGACTTCTCTTTAACATTAAGCTTGTCGGAAGCAATCGATTGGAATAGGATGATTTACTCCTAAGTTTACAGTGACAGCTCAGATTTCGAGAACCGTTATGGCGATTCCGTTCTGAGAAGCGCCAGTTAGAAATATAAATTATGCAGGTGATGAAAGACTGATTTAACAAACAGTCCTAACATACATATCAACCAATATTTCCAATATAGATATGTTAGAGGTACTTACACTGCTTGTGTTGATTCCTATAAATGTGAAAGCAACAAAAAGAACCTCGTACACCATTGTAGAGACTGCACGACGCGCAATGTCTTAACGAATCGGCGAACTTGATCCCCGTTACCTCTTCGCCTGCCGGCTGCGCGATCGAGTGCCTTCAGACAAGACTACAATAGAAATTCGTCGCTCTCGTCAGCTTGCGTTTTGATTACTTGGGTAGATACATGAGCGAATGCGTAAAAAAAAAATACGTATTGTGTAACTTTAATACCTTTTTTTTTACTTAAACAAACTCTTCTCAAACTTGGTGTCAATATATTCGGGTTTTTTCCCTAACGTGACGTATTTATTATTTCCCCACAGTGGTTGGCGGAGGCAGAGGAGGGGGGGGGGGGACGACGGGAGAGGAAGAAAGCTTGATCTATTTTGATCGAGAATAAGCAACCAATGATCAACGATGAGATGAAGAAAATTCGAACAGATCAGTTTCGGAGTAGGAAAGACAGTTAACCATTCCTTTTCAAGGGGGAAAGTGATAAATATTGGCATTCAAGTAGGTTCATTGAACAATGACCAACCGCATTATTTTCCGCATCTGTCAAAATTATTATCATTTTTTTCCCTTAGTTTTTTCGGGTTGGATTCAGTCTTTAGAGGCGTCTGAAGTCTATTTTAAGATTACTGCAATATTAAGTATCGAGCATCCACCAGACAAACCAAAGGCATCGGAAATAATATCTGACTCCATCACTTTTTACACTTGAATGAGATTGTTTCTAGGACTTTTTATTTGTTTGTTCGTCTTCATTCAAGGGCTTGTTGAAAAATTTATATTTGAGCTGTGCGTCGAGGAAGATTATTTGTACTCCATACGTCTAATTCATACTCTAATCCATACGCTACCCTACGCTACGCTACCCTACGCTACGCCTGCCACCGCGCTCGGTCTGTTTTGCTTTTATCGCCAGATTATCTCGCCTTCTTTCCAGGAGAAATGGCCGAAAGAAGCTTCCTACTGCGCGCAACTTCAATACTTGTCACAAATTTCCGAGTCCATCATTTATCATTATTCCTAAAAACGTGAGCCAACGTCGAAGAAAGTTACTGCACGGAAGAATGTAGTAAAAGAACGCCAACTGAGAGCAGTTTTCTTTCGCATTTCGTTCGTGACAGCTTATCCTTTGTCCTGTGTACTTCCATATATGGCTGATTCAGACATAACACAGACATCATCATAGTTATTTTGGGACCATTTTGGCAAGCGCTGAGAGTGCAACTTCCAGACTGCTACCAACCATTCTTCAGTTAAGATGGACTTCTCTCGTTTCCTTACACTTGTTTTAAGTGTTCTTTTTGTTGGTAAGGTTTTATCTTTCTTGTAGGTAGATCAAAAAACTCAAACATCGATAATTATATGTCTCATTTGAAAAAATATCTTATTACTCTGGAGGTGGGAGGGATTCTTACAGCGTGCAATACTCGCAGCTATGTAGAAGGTATTGATAAACTTCAACCGTCAAGGTTTCTCTCCGATTTCATAGCTCGTAAGCTAGCTATTTATATCCAAAGTGATTTAGGTAAGTTGAAACACGCATGAAAATATCCTGGCGGAAATAAAACGCCCAAATGGCGTAATTGATTTCTTGTAAATCTAGCTGATTTTTGCCACTCACCATGTATTTAATGTGTATGCTGTAATTTAATGTGTGTGCTATAATTGTAAAATTTCATTTAAAATCAATTTTGAGATTACTGTTTTCTATATAATGACAGTACATGTTCACTAACAATTTTTTGTTTATATCGCAGTGCTTCTAAGTTCCACAGCAGTTGGGGGTGAGTTAATATGCACGAATGCATGAGTAATAACTTGTACATATTATGAACTGTCTCTTACAAGAGTTATATTTTGTATTTTCTTAAAAGGATAAACTTCATGAGCACGTAATGCGAGTTCAATTTAAAATCACAAGTATGATTTCAAACCAAAATTGCATGACATGAGGTTCAATTACCACTTTATTACATCCATTTTGAAATTACCCAAATTCAGGATTTGGTCAGTTCAAATATTTTATTGATGTAGTACTGAGCTGGTTTGAAAATAAATTCATCCATTTTTTAGGGCGAAAAATAAGAGTTTTGAAAACAAAAGTTGCGAAATTTGCCACATGATACTCTTTGTCTTTCACTTTCTTGCAATTTGATTGGTTACTTTAAACAAGCCTTGAAATCTAATTGGCTGTTTTGTTTTTAGTGAAGCCTCATTGCCTGGGGAAAAGATGTGATTCAAGACAAAAAATGGTGCAATTCATGAGTAAATCACACCAATTAGAGCCAATCAGATTACAGGGACCACCAATGATTTCAAAATGAGTGTAATAAAAAATTTAACACCACGTACATACCCATAGCATTTCTTGCTTGAAGTACATGTATGTGTTGCCAATAATTTTTTATGCTGATATTGGACTGTATTTGTCCATATTTTGATGGAAACAAATGGATTCCATGTTCTCACTCCTTCCTAGTAATGGGAATAACTGGCAATAATAAAAGAATTACTTGCAAGTGTCCTGAATTTCATTACTTTTTCGATCAGAGGAAAAAATTAACTAGACCACAGCAAAACATACTCTTAGTTGACTTTTCGGATATAATTTCTAACAACAATGAATGAAAATGAAACTAGTATTTCTGATTCAGTGCATGACATCTTTTCTATTCATATAGATAATACCAACTGCTGTACTCAATTGAACATCCCATCGGAATGTCATTTCCTGTGCGGAGTTGGAAGCCAACCCTTCTGGTCAATAACGAGATGGAAATGTACACATAAATACTATGCCAAAGTGGCAACATGCGAAGTTCAGAATAAAATCAGTAAGTATAATTTTCCTAATAAGTGGTTATGATGGGTCCTAGGAAGGAAAAAAGTTAATGATGGACATTTTGACAACCTGACAGGGAGACTATAAGCAACAAAACCTCAGTATCACTCTCACAGAACAATCTCCACACACTATAATGTATTTACTCTTACACCTGGGCTGAAATGATAAATTTTGCATTTAGAATCACTAATTTATTCTTTTTGCATCTTCTTGTAAATCAGATTATGTGAAACTGTTTGGCCAAGAACTGACTCAATCGTAAGTTTCTTTATACAGTTTTTCATGCACACAATATAGTGTTTAACATACATATTAAATAACGTGGGTGGTTTCAGTTGGGTATTGTAGTTAGTTAGGGAAATGTTTCATTGATAACATTTATTTGGTTCTTTTAATCACCTTTATCTGAAAACCAGAATAAAGAAAAGCTTTGACAAGCTCTCAGCAAGCCTGCAGGCAAAATTATCAGATGCAAAAGAATTTGCAAAAGCCACACTTGATGAGCTAAGGAGTGTTCCACAGGACCTGCTGTCCTCTCTGGAGGTAAATGTATTTTATGTGCTTTGCTTTCTTCATATTAAACCTGAAGACAGAAAATCTTAATGCTGATCGATAGACTTACAACTTATCAGCTGAGGTATTTGATCGACCCAAATACCAGTCCTTTTAATTAGTAATTTGTGAAGGGGGAATAGGTTAAAAAAAAAAAAAAGGTCAGCCACAGATAGCTGCTTGTCCTCACACAAACAACTGAACTATAGTATCAGACATCCCTTGCTTCTGAATGGGAAGAATTGGCAATGATAAGACAGGCACTCTCAAGTGCTTTGAATTTCAGTACAGTTTTGATCAGAGGAAAAAAATTAACCAATGAAATACTTACTGAAATTTAGGCTATGTTGAACTTGACACAAAAATGACTATCAATGTCTATTTGACATAGCAAGGTACAGTCAAATTAACCTCAGAGGCTGTTGGGACTTTACCCTCCTCGACCCTGTACAACCCTGGAGGCAACATAAAGTCTGCACTCAAGCCAAGAAGCCCATCCAGTGGGAGTTTATCTTGTTTTCCCCAGCAGGAAGGGACTATAATCATTTCCCCATCCCTGGATAGGATGCTAGTCCCTTGCAGAGGGTAGCAGGGGGGGTGGTGCTATCATTAACCATTATAAACACAAATTTTTAGACACTTGGCATGGCACTCCAGTGGATGCCTTCCACAGGTCCTCCAAGGTTACCTGCTGGGTCAGTTCTTCACTCATCTCATCTTCACTCATTGGTTGCTCATCTGATGTTGATGAGTTAAATTTCTCTTCCACCTTATTCATGCTGGGTATGGTATGATTTCAAGGCTGGTCAGAAACCATTTGCATACCTCAGTAGTATACAGTAGGTGTAATTCTGAATGTTGATCAGTTCCCTAATGTTTTCTTAGATAAGATCCTCTTCTTGCTTTGCAGGATAGTCTAAGTGGCATGACAAGTTACCAGTTTGGTGGAATTGTTGATCGTCTCACAAAGTTCACATCACAGAATTTAAAGAAGCTCATCTCGCACATGAACCTGGATGCATTTTTTGCCAATGTGGACAAAGTTGCTGTAAGTTTTACAAGGGAAATTAATGGGATTTGGTACAATTATTTAAGTGCTCCTGTGGAAATTTCATCAACCTTCATTTATGCCTTTAGAATATTTTATAGCTTTTTTTAATGTAGAAGTGATCTTTGCAGTAATAAACACTATAAGCAGTAGTGAAAATTCAAGCCTTTAGGGGATCTGAACCCAAGACTTCCGTGATACCAGTGCAGTGGTATTGCAGTGGTCATGGGTTCAAATCTTTTTTTTTTTTTTTTTTTTTTTTTTTTCCTCACACAGGCCTTATTGTCACAATGCTTTAGTGTTCATTACTGCAAATATTGCTCATATATTCATGTATGGTACTGTTTTTCTTATAGAGTAAGGAATGGGATCGCGAGCAACTGGCTGCTCTGAGCCAAGCTGCTTATCGCAAATTTGGTGATAACGTCCGTCAGTGGACCGTCAAGGCATTAGAAAACATGAAGCAATTGTTGGCTGGATTTGAACCAAGTGAACTAGCAGAGTTAGCTGGAGATGTTTTTGATCAAGGGTAAATATAATCACAGAGTTTGAACTAAATTATGATTGTGTATTGTATTGGTCACGAATTGTTAGACATTTACAATAATTATTGTAGATCTGCATTTATTTAACCCTTTTACTCCCAAGATCTCACTAGTAATTCTCCTTACTGTCTGCCATACAGTTCTTGTGATATATTAGTTATGAGAATTTGGTGTTGGATCAAGTTATAATCCCCTAATTGATATTTTTCTTTAT